GAAATAAAACATAAAGAATAACTCAGCCAATTATTTGAAACTATCAATAACGTTATTGTATTGATATGTTCCCAACTTCCTAATACATTTCTAAAAACAACAAAGTAATATATACCAATGAATTGCATGATTAATAGTTGTGTGGTTTTTCCAAAAGTTTTCATTGCAACTTGAGTCTGGAATCGTCTTTTAACTCAAGTAATGCAATTCGACGTTTATCTTTTATTTATTTCTTTTGGTAGCACGAGGTATAGAGATTGTCTGCAGGGAAGGTCTACAATGAACTGTTTCTTTTTTAAGATGTAATCAATGACTTATCGTCTTAATTTGTCGGCGTTTTATTTCAATACAATTTTCATAAAATACTATAGTGTTGACTTTCTGTCATTTTCAACAAACTCCTACGTTTAGGTCTGTAAATTTTACATTTTAACAAATAGATCATCTAGTTGGTTATCGCGTTTCGTTTTACGTACTTGACTGACACAAATAAAGATAATATACATGTCTATGCATGGCAGCATTGTATATTTGTCCGAGTAATAATAAAAAAATGCAAATTTGCGCTTCAAATCATCTGATCTGGCAAACTACTTTTTGAAATAATTGAAATCGACAAGTTTAAACAAGAAGATGTGGTATGAGTGCCAATTAGACAACTCTCCATCCAAGTCACAATGTATAAAAAGTTAACAATTATCGGTCTAAGTACGGCCTTTATATCTGCTAGGTGACAAACGATTTTGTTATCCAAATGTTACAGTTATTTTCACACAAATCAACAAAAAAGTAAAGACTATTCACATTCATTGAAAACCTGTTCTATAAAACACCAATACAAAAGATAAATATTTATAGGTCTCGTGTATGAGTAAAAGTATAAATCGTCTGCCAAGTACTGATTACGTTTTTGGGTTTTTTTCTAAGATTTAGACAAGTCTACGCGAAAAGGAAAACAACCTAAGTCCAATGGAAACTTATTTACACAGAAAATATAAACACTAAGAAAAGACCAGAAACAGACATTATGGGAGGCATTGTGGTTGATTTTCATATGATGAAGACATAATCTTTCGATCAGATTAATTGAGATCTTGAGCTAGCATGTAAGTAACTGTTAGTATTCCTTTGTTAATTCCTGTTGATCATTGTCATTTTGCTAAGTTTCTTTTGTTACCCATTCTAACATCGGACTCGTACTTATTTTAAACTGAGTTATACTGTGCGTATTGCTGTGTGTTTGTTGATTCCACATTGGCTAGATGTATAGAGAAGGATTGAGATATCACATAACATGGTTAACCCCGCCACATTTTTGCGCCTGTCTAAAGTCAAGAACCTCTATCCATTGTTAGTTTTGTGTGTTCTTTTAATTTTTGTTTATTTGTATGTTTCGGAGTTAAGTGTGGCGTCCATTCCGCTGAACTAGTATACATTATGGTTAAGAGGCCAGCTGAAGTCCGCATCCGGGTACTGGATTTTCTCGCTGCGTTAAAGACCCATAGGTTGCCTAGGGCTGTGTTCTGTTCTTTGGTTAGATTATTTTCTCTTTGACAAATTCCTCGTCTGCATTCTGTATTCTATATTGATAAAAAAACAAATAACAATAAAATTAAAACCAATGAAAAATGAAAACAAAGCAAACATTCCACACATTCCACGAACATAATGAAAAAAAGGGACTATATCATTCAGTGTATTTGATAATGCAAGACCATGAAAATCTTAAATTGATATACACAGAATAAGTATGTAACAAGCCACCTTCATAAACGTTTATAGTTGTTTTTTGTTTTAGATTTTTTTCCGTTGGACAATAACAAAGACGCGAAAGATACCAAAGGAACATTCAAACTTATAAGTCAAAAATAGACTGACAACGCCATGTCAATAAAAAAAAGACCAAAAGACCAAATAACAATATACAAAACACAACATAGAAAACTATAATGAGCAACACGAGCCCCATCAAAAACCGGAGTGATCTCAATAGCTGCGGAAGGGTAAGCAGATCCTGATCCACATGTGACACCTGCCGTGTTGCTAATGTTAGTACAAAGCCGGTGGTTAGTCTAATTTGGTAGGTCACGTTTGATTTGTCAGATTTTATAGACTTCTCCTTTTTAAATTTACCTTGGAGTTCTGTAATTTTGTTAGTCTTTTTCATGCCATGTCAAACAAACTTGTCACAGCAACATCCTACTGATTGTAGATATAAAAAAACAAGGGAAAGCAACAATGGACAGCGCATGTAGATAATGGAATACTTGAAATTTGAAATGACAATGCTAGAAAAAGTGTCACATGTAGATTAATAATAACATTTATCATTATCATGATAATGATAATAATTATGATAATACACATTAAACATAAACAATTTATTACACTAATTTTATATTTTTTATTAGAGCGTTACTAATGAGTCTTTTGTAGACGAAATGTGCGTTTGGCATACAAATTTTTTATCCTGGTATCTATGATGATTTTATTCATATAGTTTTACAAAGAAGTTCAAGATACTTTGAAACACTGTAGCATAAACTGAATTGATATTTTTGTCTTGATGGTTTTCTTTTTTCTTGTATCAGATTACAGGAACATTTGATCAGTTTAAAAGCATTTTGTAAATGAACAATTATATATTAAAATACTGCCCAACGCGACGATAACTTTAAACTCTATCTCATTACCATCTATCAGTACGTCGTGTCTAAAAGAGTTCATAAATAAATAATCACTCGACCAATCATTTGACACTATCTGTTACGTGTATCCACTGACATGTTTCCAACTTCCTGGTACATTTCTAAAAACAGGAATATACCAATAACAGAACACCTACTGTGAATATATTGATTAAAAAGCAAATCATTAATGCCTGCAAAAATAAATAAATCTAAATAGTTCCATGTAAAGTTATTCGTCGGTATGTTGATATGGTGGTTATGAATGAAATGAGATTTAGGGTTTACTTTTATAAGATTAAAGCAACTAAACAACAAAATGTATATAATATATGTACGTACAATGTTGAAAAATGTAAAATTTATTTTTGTACGAGCTTTAAAAATTGGATGAAAAGCGAGCCTTGTCATTACTTATATTGATTTAGTACATATGTACGTCTGTATTTGTATTGTGAAATAGTCGATTGCAGGATAAAAAAAAAACATGTCTGATGAGGCGATGCTGTTCACTTGAATTGGGATATTATTTGTATGTGTTGTTTTGTAAACAGTTTTTATGGTTATCAATGACGTAAGAGCTGCAGTTAATAATTGCTTGAATACAATATAATATATGAACAGAATACAGTTCTTAAATAGTTTTTGGACTTTAATTCACCTGACATGTATACTTTTTGTTGATAAGATACCTTGATCAATTCTTTCAGATAAATTCACAACTTTTGAAAGGCTATTATGTAAGGTCACCTGTCTATTGTTAAAGAATGCATGTTGAAATATTGTCGTTTTTATTCTTTATTTAGTTAGGTTGCTACTTCATTGACTTTCTTCGACATCACTATTTAGTATTTCAATACACTGGTATTACTGATAACATATTGTATTATGCTTATATTATAAGGTGAAATGTGAAAGATTAGTATTGTAGGTTTAATTTATTCTGAATAACAGAGAACGTTGCGTTTACGTCCATTAAACAGCATCTTAAGCAGATGACACAATAAACATGTACAGCTTTCCATACGGTCTATTACATAATAATATTCACAACAAGTACTTTGTTTTTTCTTTCCATTGACACGTGCCTACTGTTGATACTGTCATTACGGATTTATTATGTATTCACTGTTTTAGTCAGGATTTTCAAATTCCACACAATACACCATACTTGCCCAACTTGCTTTCTATAGACAGGGAAGCAGTTTGTCCTCTTAGGTTTTTTTTTACCTTGTAAAACAAACAAGAGTTTGGAACAAAATCTGTAGTTGGAAATTGGACGATTGCAGCACAATAAAAACATACGTTATCCTGGTGTCTGAATAAAGTCTTGTTTATTTTCACTGGAATATTAAAATAAAGCTATAAACCTGACCAACGGGAAGACATCCTTTATATGCAATTGAATGTCTTAACATTAAACATGTTATTAAATACATAATAAATACAAATAATTTCAATAAATTTTTAAACATTAGATACACTGTATATTTGATATTCATATTAATGAGTAACTACTGAAACACGATACTATATATACTTTTACACCGAAAAATAAACCGCAAGAAAACTTTGACATTACATTATATTTAGATCATTACAGTGAAATATAATAAACATTTCTTTAGATAAAGCTACTTTATTTATAGGTACATCTACTTTTATATATTATCTAATGAAAGTCATGATATATATATAAATAATGCTAATCCGTTAAAGACGACAATTAAAGTTACATATGATAACCATCAAATGTAATATAAGACAGCAACCCATGTTACTTAACAGTTTTAGGTCGATCGACATATCACATCTTGATGGATGTAATTATTGCACCCCACAATGTTTATATCCGTCCAAAGACAATAAAAACAAATTAACACTCACACAGAAAAAAATCCATCGTAATAGTGAGATACTAACTGAAATACACCTTAATATGAATGACGAAGCTAGGAGTTAAGGAATTAAAATCAGACAATTCTAAACTAAAACTTTTTATTTTATTTTTTGCAATGATATCCGGAAAAATCCAAACATAAACATGTTCATTGGTATATTGTTTCTAAACTGAACTTGAAAAAGTTATACTGCATTTTGGCCCCGAATTCCATAACACTAAGCTTATGCAATACGTTTGGTGTACAGACCTCTTGAATCATCTAGTACACGTATTCATATTTGTATTTCTTGCTTATTGTATATACATTGATTAATTTAAAAAAAAATACAGATATATATATATATATATATATATATATATTCAAATGGACATTTAAACTATAGTACTGTTCCACACATGCATGTACAGTATAGTTGATTAGATTGATCTTATTGGCTGTCCATGAATGAATAGGTGCTATTTAAGAACCTGTTTATAATACTTAAATTCATCGCTGCATTACACTTTACCCACGACAAGGAACTATGGATGTCTAAAAACAATGAGGAGTACAAGTACACATATAATTCTGATCACAGCAATAATTTGTCTTCCACGAATTAATGCAGGCAAGTAAACAATTAATACAATACATTGTGTTACTATCGTCTGTTTATCATATACAAGATTTTAACACACATCGGTTGCCCAGTTAACGTAATGATGTACAACAACTAAGTTTTACATGTTTTATGAAAAGGGTTACATTTGATAAGTTATTAAATTTGTAAAATAGCGACCTATGTTCTATAATATATGCATTCAACTTGTTTCGAATAGGAAAATTGCTATCATATACGTTAGTTTAATACATTAAAACTCTCCCGACTCATAGTTTATCTTCGATAGTTCAATTTACATCATATAATGTAACGCTGGTCTTAGATAGACCAGAAAATATGCATTGTATGTATTTAAAAACCTAATCGGATTTGATTCACGGGAAAAACGAAAATAATAAGTCATAAAGGCACATGTTGTTTAAGATATATAATCAGTTAGACACTAATCAATAGTTCAATCGAATAAGTGAAACCACTAGTTAACAGAACTTTTAGCCAGACTCCGTTGATCATTGACTTTGTTAACTCAATTGCTAATATTATATTTCATCAGTGTGGAATGTTTTTTAAACTGGTCCTGCTCAACATCACATGTGAACCAACTGTGTTCCTCTTATTGTCGACTTGTTCTTTTATTCATATGAGGCTGTCTTCATACAGGAGCTTCTTTGGAAGAAAGAAAAATAGCCAGTATTATCCTTTAATTTTACTTTCCGCTATGTAGATGATGTCCTCTAACTAAATAATTCAAAGTTTGGTGACTATGTTGAACACATCTATCCCATCGATCTTGAAATAAAGGATACAACAGATACAGTTTAGTCTGCTTCATATCTTGACTTAGAAATTGACAATTAGGGTCGGTTGAGATTTCAGCTTTCCAATTGTGAATTTTCATGTCTATGTAGCAACATTCCAGCATCGCCAGCATATATAGTGTATATATCTCACAGTTGATACGATATTGCAGGGTCTGCGTTACTATTATGATTTCCTTGATAGAGGGTTGCTGCTCACAAAGGAAGCTATTAGTATAAGATTTCCAAGTGGTGAAGGTGTCAATCTATTTTTGACTTTGAATGTCCATTTGATATCTTTTGCCTCTCTCGAGACCCTATAATCCTCATTCGCTTGTAAATGAAAAGCATTGCGTCGAATTTGCCAAATGTGGAAAAAGGGCGACACAAACGAACAAAATATATATATGTGAAATGACATGCCCTTTTGTATTCGCTACATTTAAATGCAGATGAGCTATTTATGTAGAGTATCGGTTAGCTTTCGAAGACAAGAAAGATATTGTATGACTGAAAAAAGAATTAAATCGATTTTAAGTTGATATTTCATACAGTAATGATAATCAAATAAAGTTTCTTTTCATAAACTTTGTAAATTAAAAAAACTGATTTTAAAAACCGAAGGAAACAACTTATGGTTTCTGTTGTGTTTATATTATTGGTTTTTGATGATAATGCATATACTTCTTAAAATCTTGAGCACCTGAGATCACCACGCTTTTTGGTTGGTTCGTATTGCTCGGTCTTAAGTTTTCAATGTTGTGTTTTGTGAACTTGAGTGTCTTTTAGTCGTTTTTCGTTCTCTTCTATTGGAGTTGTCTGTTCAACTTGTGAAGTTTATAATGTCCTCTTAGTATCGTCGTTACGTTTTTATAATTAAAATATATCTAGCTTCTTTCTTTAAAAAAATAATAATAATAAGTTTAATAAATGTTCAGGTTTCTACACGGAATCAACGGTAATGTTCAGTATACTGCTTACAATTCAGAAAGATCGTTTAGATATTTTTACGTTAAATTAAGAATATTAATTGATCTTCACCTTTTTTTCTCAGCTGATCCATGTGACACAACAGAACATATAAACGACTGGCAACGATCTGTAGCATTTGCAACTGATACTACACAGATATGTGATAATATTTTAGCAGAAGGATGGTATAGAGTTATAAGTGATGCTGGAGAGTTAATGCCAACAGAATGTCCAGTAGGAGGATTAAGATGTAATACAGCAAAACCAATATATTTATATACTGGTAAGATAATGAAGTTTTGATAAAAAGGATTAATTAATGGAATTAAGTCTTAAATCTGGAATAATATGTTCAGTCGGTCAAACTATTTAATGCCAGTAAAAATGAAACAGGTGCAAAATATTTTTCTGAAGAATCCTTTAAAAACAAATAAGATATATAACTGCACTGATCGATCAGTTGACTTACAAAGCTACCTTACATTAAATACAATTCAAAATAGTTTATAAAACACCTATCTCTATACAACCTTTTGTTAAACAAATAAAAAAATATCAAAAAATTATTGAAATCAAGCTCATTTTAGAAAACACATGTAATGACATAAAAAATCGTTAGTACGATTATTGTCTGTACATTTACTTTTTATCATGTTTATACATTGTTGTATATGTAACACTGAAGTTCAACTTTCCCAGGCATAGATGGCCTAACCAAGATGGCGAAAAAGTTTATCAAATATATGATTTTCAATACTTTTAATTTTACATTTGGTTGGGCCTTCTACCAGTTTCGATTCGAGCGCCACTAATGAGTATTATGTGGATGAAACACTTGAACGCCTCACCAAATATTACGCCTGGGAACGTTCTGTACATAACAACCATCCGTATTTAATAAAGCGCACACTTGATCAAGCGTCTCCGTGAAGGGTAATAGAGTATTTACCATAGGATAGAGTAAATTGTCTCCCTCGTATTAACGAATCAAAGTCTAGCATTTTGACATGAAGTATAATAAAAAATATTATGATAATTTGTATAAATTTAGTATTTATATATTGTTTAATTAGTCGAAACACTAAGGATTTTCTACCCACAGGCATAGATTACCGTAGCTGTAATTGGCATAGATTTTAGATTTTTTTTGTTGGCAGTACTCTTTAACTTCATACCTGAATGGTCGTCCAACGTTTACTTTCGAGCATCAAAAATGAGTCATATGAAAACGAAACGCGCGTCTGCCGTACCAAATCAAACGATTGATAACTGATGAGTTTTTATAGAATCTTTCTAATCCATTTTTGCATGGAATGCTCATTAAAGACTAAACCTTAAACTTTTTTGTTATATTTATAATAAAATGATATATTTATTTGTGTTTTTAGATGATTTACCTGTTGGAGAAGAGGCATACCCAGCTGTTGGCGTCACAGTTACAAGAACAGCATATGCTGCAAACTATGATGGTAATTGTAAACACACGGAATACGAAATCCAAATAAAAAACTGTGATGGGTACTATGTTTATTTCCTCAAAAGTATAACAGGCGGATGCACGTCAGCTTACTGTTTTGGTAAGTGTTATCACTAATTAGGTCAGATTGATTCCTCTATAATAAAAAAAAATATCTGTTGAAATTCTTAGACATGTAAAGTACAACTTTAATTAGAATCTACATATCTAATTGATTTTCCTTCCCGGCAGCTGATGTTTCGTTTAAAAATAAATAGTCGAAGGACATTTGTTTTTCGATTGCGATGAGAAATCATTTCAAAGTATAACTCAAAAGCATCTACACATTATTTTTCTGCAGGGATTGTTAACTTATTTTATATTCGTTTTTTATTACTAGACACAATCATCCCTATTAATCTGTGTGCATGCACTTTACAACAGTAACCGTAATCATAAACTTATTTTTTTGTTAATATTTCAGGTACACAACTACCATGTGAAAATGGCACGACATCTGAAAATGGATTTTCACCAGGATGTGACAGTATGTATAAAGCATATGGTCGATTAGTTTTAAATAGTTTCTTTTGTGTAACACAGCATGTGCATGCTGTAGCAAAATTGTATCTTTCGAATAGTTCTTTTTTTTTTAAATAAAGCATAATATATAATGTGTGTCGAAAAGGAAAAAGTCTTATACATCTATCATCTATTAATTTGAACTACACTTGATATCCCCGAGTACCTGAATTCATCAACGGTTCTTTCGTGTTGCACAAACTTCAGTTTCCTATGTAGTGCTTTTCGGTTTTTTTTTTCTACAATAGCGTTGTCAGTTTTTCTTTGACCTATGAGTTTTGAATGTCCATTTTCTATCTTCCGCCTTTTTGTTGATAAATGTGACAAAAGACAATATTGTACAACTTTTTATTATTGTTTTTTGTTTAGCGTTTCCCGATGTAACAGTGACACCGTTTGTAAAAGCTACTCTTACAGAGACAGAGGCTGTTAATAAATTTAATGTATTAATGGTTTACAGTAAGGCAACTTTTGAATGTCATGCAAATGACCTAACAGATGGATACAAATATAAAACACGATGGTATATCAATGACATTGAAATGAAAGACGCCAAATTGGAAGGATTGTCAAAAACAGATGTGGAGGCTGGTTTAGGTCGTATGTTAGAAGAACACTGGACATCGACATACAAGCCTAATATGATAGTGAAGTGTGCTGTACAAGTAGGAGGAGAAGGATTCGGAACATATGGACCGCAACACAATTCAGAAGTTTTCTTTGCAGGTTTAAAGGTTTGCATAATTTGAATGAATTTCTATAAAAAATTGAAATATGTGTAATATACAAAAGTTCTAATTATTCTAATAGCATTGTTTTTGGTATTAGTTATTGTAACGTTACAATAATTAATACCAAAAATACTATTATTCAAATAATGAGAACGCAAGAATAAACTTCGTTAGAAATCATTGTTTAAAAAAAATCATCATATGCTAACTGTACGCCTATATGTAAAAACGCATATTTTCAAATGTGAGTACACATTAAATAATGTATTTTTCTACATTTGGACATAGCATTGGGATTTATACTGTATAAGGAATTTATTTTATTTTTTAGATCGACCCATCATCTACCACAGATTACCAAGTTTTAGAGGGAGACGAGTTAGATATACCGGCAGAACTTACGATGCCTTTATCATGCGCCTGGCCAAAAAATGCGTATGTAAAATATTTATGATGAAGCTTTATTTGCAAAATACATAATAAAATTAAATTCTGCACAAAAACATGCAAAAGCCACTGCCTTAGTTTTAAAATCATGTAAATAATAGATTGGTTTGTAAATCGTAAGGTAATAAAATATATTGATTATTGCAAACGCAAAGCTAAAGCCGAGTTGACTTCATTACATTAGTTAATTGGCGACAATAGAACATTGTAATTAGAGCAAATAAAACTGCTTTAAGGATGTTCGCTACTATTGTTTTTGACTTTTTGTCAGGTAATCGTATCCTCTAGGTTTCTCCATGTAGTGTAAATAAAAAGCTTGTCCGCTAACCCCTACTTTTCTTTTCATAGTTTTTTAACATAAAGTTTAAACAGCCATTTTTGAAAATCGTATAAAATCCTTGTTATTTTCTCATAGTTTTTGATAGAAAAAAGGTGTCAATGTTAAATGTATGAAAAATCTAGAGAGAATAATTTCCCGTCAAATTTTCAATGGCTCATATCTCAAAAACAAGAACACGGACCCTTCATTTTTAATGGTTTTTTAGTTCAATTATTTATAGACTTTCAATATATAACAGTCTCTGAAAAGGCTTGTTATTTTGAAACAGAGTATCGAACATCCTTACTTGACATGCAATAGATAATAGGCTCTCAATTGCCATTCTTTCATCTTTGTCGTTAATACAATAAGCACTTTAAAGTATCAGTAAAGGTTATTCTGTATACTTTATTTTGATTCATGTTTCATTTAATTTGCTGTTAGCATTTAATGTACAATTTTGAATCGTTATTCCGATTTCAGTGCGCACGTTCTCTTTAAGATTCCATGTTTATATGGGTATCTCAGTTCAGAACTCCTAATCTGACTTGAAATATCAAGTTATAGGGTACTTTTAGGTATAGCAACTGCTTAAAAAAAAATCGAAAAATATTTGAAACAATTAGGTTTTTTTTAACCTTCAGAAACAGATGGCTTTAGCTATATCTTACACAACGTTTAGATCTTTTTGTTTTCAATATTTTTAAAATTATGTTTTCATTAGCCAATTAACAGTTTCGATTTGATTTACATTGGTGATTCTGGTGTAAAAAAACACGCATGCCTTTAAGATTTTAAGCCTTTGTCTGTGGGGAGTTTTATAATTTATTACGTCAGACATTTGTCCGACAAAAGACTCAACTCTGTCATGTCATATCAATTATGAAGTTAAATCATTTGAACTTTGCACAATAATTAGAAACATGTCATTAGTGAAACAAGAACAAACCAATATCATCGTGTTTTTATGAATGAGTAGCACCAGGTGAAAAAAGGTCAATCGACGTAGATAACGTCATTAAACAATCAGTTCCTACTGTGACACAATTACATAAGCAAGTTAATACAGGATATGTACGTAAAAATGCACGAATTTGAAAGACGTCTTTGTTTATTAGTTTTTCCCAAATGATTTCTGATCAGTATTTACTAATATACTGGTACAGCTGTATATAAATATCGTCAAATGATGATGTACTAGTAGTACAAGTTCAGAACTAACACTTGAGTCGTACGCAAGAAAAGAAAATTCCGATAGATATTTTCGAGCATAATGAACAAAATTACTTAAATTCTGCACATAAACGAGGGATAGAATGCCAAGGGCAATAAAAAGTATTAAGTCCTTTTAAAACAGACAACCCCATGGAAACAAAAAGACGAAAAGACTAAGAATCATGACAAGAAATTTTACAGAAAACTGAACAACAGAAAACGCAGAAGTAATTGAAGAATTAAAAGAATTGCTTAAATGATTGTTTTAGTGGGTCGACTTTCTAAAACAAAAAGAAGACGATAATAATGGGCAATCAACTTACCATTACATCATATATTTTACACGGTAAAACTTTCAAAGTGCAATGTCTTAGTTTTTTCTCATCTTCTCCTTCCCTGTATATTTCTTTTTCTTATATTTTTTCTTTACTTTTATTTTATTACAAAATTTCAGACCTCAAAATTTGAAAGACAATATTAGACAAAACGATTGCGTATTGGTTCTCTTAAATGGTGTACCAGATTATCAACTAAATGGCGAAGAGTGCATTAATGGAATAACAGAAGATGGAATTATATTCAAATCCGAAACATGTGGTATTAAGTTTTCGCACAGTAACTGGCAGGATAAACAAATGATCAAAATAATGGGTCAAACAGATCAAGTAGTTAATGTTGAGGACAGAATAGTTTTTTTACGACTGTACAACGCCGATAAAGTAGAACCTATAGAACCAATATCATATTGGAAAAATATTCACCTTCCGGATATCAAGGTACAGTGGTTTTCCTGCAACACTTTTTTCATAACATGATCTATATTTTTATAAATAAGTAAACCAACAAATGAAGTATGAGATGAAATATGAATAGACAACTGCTGTTTACATCTCGTAGATCTATTTCGATATATATACAAATCATGGTAAAAAAAAACAAAGAAATCGCGAGAACTCAAAGCCGATCGATACCGGGTGCAACGAAAGCGACATCTTATTTTGAAATTAATGCAAAGCACGCCATATCAATCAACGCTCTGTAAAATATCATAATAAGAAATACGACAGAATCGGCATGAGATAAGACACAGACAGAACGTATCGATTAACTTATTCGTGTTTAGGAACATAAAACTAATGTAGTGTGGTTTCCTTCGAATGTCCTCGTAATCCTCGTGGAGCATTAGCGTCAGAAGCACAAATCTGCTATGAAATCCAAACTATTGGAACAAATACATTCGCAACATTATAGTTCATGTACGTTAACAACAAACACAGAATAAATAAAAACAAACTTTATAGATATTATTATATTTTATGAAACATTTTATTTTAGGTTTATGTTAAAGACGCAGATGTTGTGACATTAGGTAGAAGCTGCTATTCACATAACGATCCGCATATGAGGACGTTTGACCAGAAGTGAGTACTGATTAAATAAAGTCTTTTCACATTCAAACATAGCATTGTGATTAACACTCTGGCTTGAGACACACATGTCCTTAATAGTACTTATCTTTGCCTAGATCGTAGTTTCGTTTGTGGAAAGATGTCATATTTTTCTTACACGTTTTTTACTCGTTACTTCCCTTTTATAATTGTATAATGACGTTACGTACTGAACTATCGTCTCTTAGTAATAGTTATTCACCTTTTACCTGAAGATTGTTGTAAAAACATGAAAGTACTTGTGAATATTAAATAATATTTGCATGATCCGACAATATTGGAATTTTCATTTGATAAATATATATATATATATATATATATAACCATACATATATAATATGCATGTACGCTCGGTCTGAAATTTGGAAAAAGTAAATGAATTATTATTTGTATAAATCTACATTTTCAAAACACGTTGTTACTAAGCTCTTATGTATCGAAAAGTTGAATCAGTGGGAATTAGGCTAAAACGTCATATATATAAGACTTTATTTCACTTTGTTAATATTATGAAACTGAATCTTAGAAATTTATGCCCGAGTTGGAGAAACGCTAGTTTCAAAAATGATTTGAAGTTTCATGAACAGTAAATTTGCAAGAAATTAAGTAGCAATGATATTCTAGCACAGGAGTGCCAACTACAAGTTGGTGATATTTTTGGGTCGAAATGTCCAACAGCAGTTACTTCGACGCAGGAGTTGTAAAATTATCAGCAACGATTCAAGGCTTATTGCTGTTTACGGCCGACGTGTGAATCGTATATAAAGGACTCCTCAGTAAAGCTTGAATCAAAACAGTTGTAAGGCCGAATAAGTTAGAAATTTTAAAAAATTACAAGCAATTAAGAAATGATTATGAAATATGGTTTATAAGAGTAAAATTCATTGCATGGAAGAGACAAAAAGTGCAATTTTACAATCAATCAAGGACCATAACTCAGAAACGGTAAAAGTAAAGTCGTCAATATCGAACTTCACCTTCATTTTGTCATCATTAACAGCATAGTAAAATTTAAAAAGCAATGATTGAAAGGTTCATAAATTACTGTATTAAAAGGAAATGTTCCGCCCGCCCCATCCGTATAAAATTATAAAAACTAAGTTTTTGTTGGTTTTAAAAACGCCTATAAGGCTTGCATTGTACGAACGGTACTAAAAATGTAAACACACATGTAACTAAAAACATAATAAGATGCAGTAAAAGTTATAGCTCGAAATTCAATTATTTAGCAATTCTTATATAAATCAAAACAGTGTGTATACTTTGTAGGATCTCGTGCAAATGTTTGAAAATTGACCATAAAAAGCAGAATAGTAGTTTACTTTACTGCAAGAATTTTCTATAAATATTTAAATATATACTTATTTTTAGAAACTATGAACTCCAGATTCATCAAGGACTTACAGAAGGCGAATACATTATGTACAAGCACGACCGCTTGCCACTTCAGGTAATGTAAAAAAAAAACAAAGACTCTTTGTGTACTTTTTGTTGCAAGTACACTCGGACCGAAATTTGGAAAAGGTAAATAAATTATTATATGTATAAATCTACAAATGATCTACATTTTCAAAACACGATGTTACTAAGAGTTTATGTTTCGAAAAGTTGAATCAGTGGGGCTTTTTTAAATTTTTGTAGGTACAATATACAATCATAACAAAATACTCATATTTTGATAAATTTAGTCAATTGTATTACAATGTCTATTACATGTTCTAAAAGACGTGTTCGTTCAACGATTATAAATCCATTACACATGTTCAGTCGCTCCTATATTTTCACATAAAATCTATTTTCCTTTGACAAAAAAAAAAACAAAAAAACTACCAATAACGCACACCAAGAACAAATCTGTGACTAATGATATATTATTTTTTATTGTTGTATCTATCAATTTGTTCATTCATTGATAAACTATCAATTTAGAAGTTTTCACTCTGAATTAAATTTATCTTGCTTCAGAAAATGGTCACTATGCAAATTATTCACATTGGTTGGATTCTTCTGTAAAGGAATACGTTTACTTGTAGGCTTGTGATAGTTAGCTATGGTAGTTCGATTAATTTAGCTTTGTTTTTTTTTTATTTTCGCAAAATTCAATACAGTGGACAAAATAGAATTCATTGACATATATGTTTAGTAAAAGTTAACATAACGCTTGCTAAATGTCGTGCATCCGAAGCGCTTTTTTGGGTCAATCTGTATTGGGAACACCCAAACCGTAACATTTGAAAAAAATATCATGTAAAAATAACAGAATTCAGCTATGATTTACTTCGCCTGAGGGCGTTAGAACCTTAGATTCTAAATAACTTATTAATTTTTGCAACATGTATGTTTGAAAAGTATATTATAACATATATAAGTTATGCTGTACTGAAGTACTGACTTCAAAGCTGAAAATACCACCTAGACAAACAGCCTACGGGCAGTGGTTTCGACAAACTGCTAGAAAATGAAAATAACACTTCATAAGTTTCGTGGGTCCGAAACGCTTTTTATGATTTACCTTTATCGGGATCGCTTAAACCTTAACATTTGAAAACCTTGGGTGTATAAAAACCTAGAAACGTTGGGAGTTATATGACCAAAAAAGACCTAAAAAGAATAGCTAACTTCATTTGAAATCTAATTTGTCTGACGGAATTGGAGCCTTAGTTGCTTATAAGTGAGATGAGGCAATTTTTATACCCTTGAATTCGATGATAAAAAAAGTGTGTAATTCCAAAGATAAGAATCCCTTTTTTTCTTACCTATTGAAGGTTCCTAAACAGTGTATCTGATTCCATAGCATTTTTGTGTTTATGCCAGGTTATGTCAAGCATAAACATGAACGTATATATTTTGATTCGAATGTCTTTAACGTCTTAAATTACGATTTATTTTATTTGAACGATAGGTCAGTGCCTACTTTAAAGAGTGCTATACTACGATTCTCTGTAACTGTGGTATTGCCGTTAGAAGTGGTGACAGTCTATTTGTCGCAAATTACTGTGAGACAAATTATAAAGGACAACGAAAAATAAATCGATACATGTCACAAAGATTGTGTGATGACCAAAGTCTTACAGTAACCAAATCGGGATCTACATATGTGGTAAGAATAAACCTAGGACAAAGTAATGGTTTGTTTATCATGAAATTATTGAATGATTATGAAATTTATAATAAAGTTCATTGGAAGATACCAAGACCTTGTTGATAAATATTCCGTATCAACTTCACAAATAATATATGATGGTCTTGAAGTATAGATTCTAGGTACTGATGATGTTTATCATCTTAATAACGTGCTTAAGTTTCCCTTTTTTTGTCCTTGTATCTTCTTAACCTTTACTGTTTAGTCCATTTTTGATTATATACTTATGACGTGGCTCGGTACTTATACACCCCGCCATTTTGTTATTGTACTTTGGTCAATTTTGAATTCTTGTGTATCATTTTTGCTTAATATATGCTTTGTCTATATGCTATTTTGTGTTTCTTTGTTGAAACAGTTATTTGTGTTTATAGTGATTAAGATTATATTACAATGTTGACTGCTGTACCCCAATTTTTGACGTTTTTACCTATTATATCTGTTTGTTTTGCTCACACATTGTTGTCAATATAATGTAATTTAATGCGACTGTCATACAAGTGAGAGGTTTAGATAGCTATAAAACCAGGTTAATCCACAATTTTCTACATAAGGAAATGTTTGTACCAAGTCAGGAATATAACAGTTGTTTTCCATTCGTTAGATGTGTTTGAGCTTTTGATCTTGCCATTTTATAAAGGACTTTCCGTTTTGAATTTCCCTTGGAGTTCGGTATTTTTGTTATTTTACTTTTTATAAAGAAATGCAAAGCTAATTATTGAAGTTGATTCTTTATTGTATTTGATAACAAGTTTCAATATGTTATAGGATTATTGTAATGTACAACTGATCAATATGTAGTCATTACTGAAAATTAAAAGTCATCATATCACCAATATTATGAAAAAAAAAAGATAAACTTGGTATATCATTAATGTATGAAAAAAGTATGATAACGAAAACATCGAACTCAAAGGTAACCTTAAAACGGGAAAGTCCATAAAACTGACAAATCAAACGTACGACTATATCAATCAACGGAACGACTGAAAACAACTGTTATATTTCGGTACATGTATTTTAACTGACGATAATGGTTGTTAAAACCTGGTTTTATATCTAGCTAGACTCCCAACATGTATTACAGTTGTACAATGTATATAGGACCGTTACATTGTCAAAACTGTGCGAGCAGCCGAAACAAACTTAATCGATTAACGTGACAATAATTTGGATTTAGCAACCAAAATATATAAACATATATCATGATAACGAACATAACAAAATAAAAAAATCCAATCAAACATACAATTAAATCTTACAAAGCCACTAGCAAAAAATAAAGTTTTTGTAGAAAGTAAAATAACAAAAATACCGCGCTCCAAGGAAAATTCAAAAACGGAACCTTTGTCAAAGGCAAAATCCAAAGCTCAAACACATCAAACGAATCGAAAACAACTGTCATACTCCTGACTTGGTACAGACATAGTTGATACTCAATATAAATTAGAGCAGCAAAGTAAAATTAAATGACATATACATACTTTCCAGATAAAGTCAAAATGAAGTAAAATATCGATATGGGTACACAAAATAATAAAAAAAAAAAACAACAAAAAATACAACAACAAAAAACCAACAACATTATAAACGAGAAACGTTAAAAGCCATACGACCAAAAGGCATATCCAGAAATCAACGCCACTTTGCTTATTTGAATATTTTACTAAAGAAATCGGATACGGGTCACGGAAATTATATTGAAATGATAGGGAATTTAGAAAAAATGTATGTTTTAACTTTGATTTAAGTGATAGACAGGTTGTCGGGGCAGAAAATAAATATACACAACAATATACACCATTTAAATGAAATATAATGACTGGCGTTGCAAAAATCAAGGTTCCTGAGCTATTTTAAAAATCGAAGCGAGAGGCTTTTAACATTGCAGTATAAAATACAGGCTAAAATGGCTGAAACGTTAAATTTGCAAACTTTGTGTTGAAAATTGGCTAACAAGGTCATTAGATATACAGGTTGCCGGGGTGAAACTTGAAACTTGAATGTCCAAAGAATAAGCAAGTCCAAACCTTGTATGTGTAGTCGTTGAACTCTAGGTTCCCACGTAAAGTTAAAATGCCTCTATTTCAAGAAGACTAAACTCACGAAAACACGAATAATTCACTAAATTCGCGTTCATTGTTTTGATTTTGAACGCCTGACAACTTTACGGAAATATCAGAGTGATTATAAACAAGGACTCTGTGACGGGCAACTTATAATATCCGTGTTTTAAAGATTTTAATGATATCAAGCCATCCCAGTTCAAACTATTATCACGTGGTACAATTCTCATTTACATATTATGAATATTAATTAGCAAAAGTACTACTAATTTCTGGCTATGGGACAAAAATAGTACAAATAGTCCAAAATAAAGGGTAAACATAAAACATAAAAAAAAAAAAATATGATACACAACGTCAGCACCGGAATCTATAACTAAAGCTATCCTGCATTAATTGCACTGAAAATTTCACTGGTAGTATTTGATTTTTGGGAGAAAATGAACGAGACACTGTTTGTCAAAACTGTTGCTCTTTTGTTTTTTTGCTCAGACACTGTTGTCATTTTACAAAGTATGAGAAGCAACTGCAAGCTCTTGAATATCGTATGATTTGAGAAATCAATAATTTAAAACGCAGGTCAAATGGTATATAGCTGTTAAGGTGCAGGAAAAACGTTTAACTTGATATCTGCAGTTAAAAGATTTTAAAAAATAAGCTTAAAATATAGTCAGCCACGTTGTAATATCCAAACATTGGTGTGCTTCAGTGTGTGTTTGTTATTCTAATAGATAAAAACTACTGACGTGTTTAAATTTGGCTGTTTGTATTGTCTATAAGTTTTAATGTTGTTTTGTAGATTACTCTCCCTACTGGAACAAAAGTCACATTTTATTATAGTTCTAACTATTTAGATGGAATCAACATTATACCATCAGTATTAGACACGGGTATGACAAAAGGTCTGTGTGGTATTTACAACGGTAATTCAAATGACGATTTTATACCAAGAGATCAGCTAGCTCCAGTTACAGATATTAAAACTTTTGCTTCGTCATGGCAGTACGTATTCGATAGTTATACATCTTCTCTTCTGTAAAAAGTCTCTTAAATGCGTACAATATGTATATGTGAACACAAAATAATAAAAAAAGTCATGGATACAAATATAACATGATGTTACTTTACAGGGTAGACAAGGGAAAAGAGGAATACAATTTGAAAGATAAAATAGTGATAAATCAAATAGCATAAGTCGAAGATAGATAAAAAAAAAATTACCGGTTATTTGCACATTTACCCTTTGATTCTTCTGCCAAATATGTTTTTTTAGATCATGGACATGACCTGATACTCGAAATTATCGTCATGTCCTTCGCATATGTAATCCTGCGCAGTCGTTATTTATTTTTGTATCACGAGATTTGAGACATGAGCAGAGCTTATCATTTTATTTTTACTTCATCAGCTCAAATATCAGCTCTCCATAGTGAAATCGCTTGATTTCTTCCTGATAAAAAAAAATGGCATTATTTTATATAAACAAGGCGACCGAGGAATAGCATACATTACAACTAAGATAGATGCATTAAGAAAACCTACGTAGTTTCCTCGATTTTGTATGACCTTTAATTGTTTAAAGCTAATGTATGATAAATGAATGTTGCCAACTCCTTTTAAACTTATGATTATGATCATCAATGGAGCAACCAATTATTAATATTGTAGAGTGAAAGGTGCTTATGCAGACGAGACTTTGTTTCATCCAGATGGTGTGTTAAAAGAGACAGAATATAACGGTCAGCAGTACTGTACATGTGTATCCCCCGATGACGTTTGATGACGTTTATCCTCATGGAAGTCCAGAGTTCAATTGTGAATTGACAGCTGCTATGAAACCATGTAGAGATACAAAAACAGCCATAGGCGTTTATACGGCTGACTGTGCAACAGTGGTATCACGGAAAAAGAGATCCATCTCGTATAATGAAAAAGCAGCCAGAAAAAAGAGATCCACGTCTGATTATGAACCACCTTCTTATCCTATGGTTTCTGAAGATAAGCCGTCAGTAACAGTAAGATATTTTGACCTTCGTTTGTTTCTTAGTTGACTTGAAAAAATAAATCAAGTATATATTGTACTATGCTTTAAATTCCATCTAAACATTAAGGATGAACTTCAAAGATATGTTGGCCTCTCTATGTTAGAAGATTGATAGCCGTACTGTTCGAATATAATATCATGGATAGTTTGTTTTTAATTTACATACTAACAGACCATTTCCCCCAGGTTATACAATGACTGTTTTTCGTTTAATAAATACTTATAATAATCAGAGGTCATAGGTTATTCTTATTTATAGGCGTTACATGCATATGCTTCTCCAATACTTACATTTACATGTACATTTTGTGTAGGATCATTCTAATTTTAAAACTTTTGAAATCGTCTTATATATGATATTTTGTTCATATTACGACAACCGCTTCTCATTTTACCATCTATGATATATTTTCATTTCATCAAAATAACTATTTGCTGGTTTTACTTCATAGATTATAGAAGAATGGCAAAATGGTTGGACGGAAGCATCTGCTGGAGAACATTGTACATATCATTTTGAAAAGGCACCGGCTTTCAATGTTTGTTCTGAATATGTTCCTTATGTAGACAAAGCTCCATTCATCAATGGCTGTATCAAAGATATAAAGGTAGCGGTTTGAATCAAATCTATAAATCAATGAGAAATCTAACTGTATTTACATTTAAATGTTTTAAACGTCAAACTGGTTGACCCTAAAGGTTTACTGTGGTACATTTATAAACATATCGTTATCTGGAATATTCGCGATCCGGCAGTAAATCCCCTTTATTTGCTATAGTGGGTTATTCATTGAGTTGTTCGGGTTCTATAAATACCTAGCTATGTCCGATAAATAGGGGGCCGTTAGATCCGATGTCTAGTCTAGTAACATTGCAATGATCCTGCACGTTAGAATTTGTTGCAACAACTCTTGCAGAGGTCCATAGGTAGCGTGTTGCAAGACAGAATTGGTAACACTTTCTAACACCCTTTTTTTCAAGTGGTAAATGTAATATTCACATGTTCTCTACATCTCTTCTGACCATGTTTGCAGAACGTACCTACTGAATTTATTGTTAAATATGAATAGCATATTTTATTTCTGAACTTTAGGAAAACAACAACCAGTCAATCAAACAAACTGAATATGTTTTAAAAAGTAGCACAAAATCTAAGTAGACAGAAATGGAAATTGATTTTACACATTATAAAAATTGAACATTGATTTTACACATTATAAAAATTGAACATTGATTTTACACATTACAAAAATTGGACATTGATGTTACACATTATAATTGGGGACATTGATTTTGCACATTACAAAAATGAACAGTTTTTTTTCAGAACATTGTTATGAATTAAATGTTTGTCAATTTCATTTCATTTAAATGCATCTTTTTCAGTCCACTGGTGGAGATAGTTGGTTGAAAGTCACAATAAGAAACTTTGCAAGTGTATGTCTTCAAGAATCGAAACGACTCGAAATACTAACGGTCACTAATAGTACAAATTCTACTGGTGCAGACAAGCCAATCGCTTCTATTATAGAAGAGTCGACATGTCCAGAGGATTGTTCTAACCATGGACTATGCATAAATGGTAAGATAACTTAAAATTCAAGTCTTGTTGTGTTTCCTAATTTCATTAGATGTAAAATGATGTGTCTTAAATATGATAATAAATATTCACTCTGTGATGATTGTATCAAAAGCAACCACACAAAATATCAGACATAAACAACAATGGACAGTAAGACTTAAATTGAATTCAAACTCAAAACTGAAAAAAAACTTGGCAGCAGTAAATCAACAATCGACTCCTCACAACTAAAAGTATACGTTAACAATTTAAAAAATAAAACTACTGTACCATCAGCTTAGAGACTATCATCAGTTCAGTATCAGTGATTTTTTAGTGACATGATTAATATCATTTTTTTCGATAATTTCACATTCGCACATATTGAAGTTTATAAAAACTGGGGTCCCACTACCCTCGGATAAGTTGCACTTAGCTGAATGTGGCTAATTTGTCCCTTTTGGTCATATAGCTTCTAACGTTTTTACACATTCATTTATTCCTAGCTTTCGAAAGTTGGGGCTTGAACGATCCCGATGAAGTCAGAAAAGCAATGTAGACCCACGAAATTTATAAAGTGATATGTTAATATAAGCCGGTAAAGACCTTCTGTTGTCTTACTTTCTCAGTTTCAAGTTGACATTTATCAGTTCCGAGTTGACATTTCTCAGTTTCAAGCTAACATTTTTCAATTTCAACTGGACATTTCGCAGTTCCAAATTCTATATTTCTCGGGTTCAAATTTTACATTCTCACTTCGAACTTAGAACTCAGTAAAGTGCACATGAAAATGAAAAATGAGAAATGAGAAATCTTTTAATATTTCCTTTCGTTTCTGTACGACATTTTTATTCTTTGAAATCTACGCTTTTCATACGAAATATAAATAGAAGAGCAACCAACCGTACACCACAGATTATGTCAGTATAAACTATTTACCTAGAATATATTTATGTTGTCTCCGTTTTAGGACAATTCAATTCGTGACTAACACAACAATTGTAAACTATTTTTTCTACGAAAACTATATATAAATTAGTTCCATCCATATTACGGACATATACAATTGGTTATGTCATTACATAGGCTGAAATAAAATACAATAAAATTAAGTGATAAGGCTATATTAGGACTAGAGTCGTTGTACCTATTACAGAAGAATGTCAATGCAACGATGGCTATTATGGAGAATCGTGTTCACTAACAACCTCCCAAGCACCTACAGTTATTAAGAATGCATTTGAAGATCTATGTGATTCATCGAAGAAACTATGCAGAACTTTTATCGTTCCTGGATATGACTTCATCGATGGAGCAGGCCTTATGTGCAAATATATGTCCATGTCTGTAAGTTTAAAAATATACATTCTTTTTAAATAAAAACATTCTTTTCATAAAATTACAAAAATATTATGTAGCGTTCAATGTTCACAGAATTTAATTGTTTAGTATCTTTCAAATATTTATGTGAATAATTAACAAAAATAAAGGTAAAAGGTGATCTTAGCATTTTGATTTTTTTTGTCAAAGTAAATTATATATCTATATATTATATAATGTAATCGTCAAAGTAAATTATATATCCATATATTATATAATGTAATCGTCAAAGTAAATAAATGTATATATCATCCGTTTAATAAGGCTTTTTTCAATCGTATTTCTAGTAATTCGGAACTTATTCTAAAAAAAAATCAAAATACACTTGGCTCACATCATCAATTGAGATTGTATTGATTCATAGACAAAATATCTTCAGAATATCCTATGTATTTTTTAGCTGAAATCTAACGGTACAACAACATTGCTTGTAGAGGGAGACACATTTACTCATCCTGGTACTTATGCAAATTCATTTTTTATGTACTGTAACTTGCCTGGATCAAGGAAAAAAAGATCTACTGATTTTAATATAGTTGCCACAGGATATCGAATCGCAGTTTCCAACAATGGAGAAAATTACACGGACCCGCTCATTAGTATCGTCTTTGACTCTACGTGCTATGAATGTAACACAACAACTCTGTCTTGTGAAAAATTGGTAAGTCAATATTACTCCGTGCTACGTTATAGTTTGTAATGATAACAAAGTAGGTATATATTGTACATGAAAACAAACGTTAACGCTTTGAAAAAAGCGTACTGACTTTACAAGCATACATGTAGTATATTTTAGCATCCCGTTTTTTGTTCATAAAACTACTACTTCGTCTGTATCGCTGGTGTTTGACTGTTAGATTTTGTGGGTTCCATTCGTAAAATTTGCATCGGTCAATAGTTTTAGAGAGACAATTAAACTATGTTACTTTAGTAAATTCCAAAGCATCTATTGATATTGAATATGAAAAAAAATAACAAAGGAAAATAATATTTATAAATATCTAGCGTCCGAAGCGGTTTATGGTTTTACTTCACCAGGAACGCTCAAACTGGATCATTTTCAAGCAAGGGATGTATAAATACGTAGAAACCATAGACGCTATAAGAATTTTTACTGTTGAAGTATTCTTTCGCTTCAAATAAATGTTGTGCTCAGGTTACTATCTATGGTGTAATTATAACCATTAATGTATATTTACTTATCTTTTTAATTATCTAATAATATTTGCAGAATATCAAAAAGCTTATTTATTTAAAGAGCCTACCAGTGTAAATAGATCAAATATTAAACAGCTTAAGTATATTTTGAAATTGAAATAAAATAACTTCTGATTGAATTTAGTGTCACATCTCGAATAAAATATCGTTCTATCTTCTATTTTACAGACAACTTGTCCTATTCAAGCTGAAAGTAAGTAAATTATCATTTATGCAAATAACCTAAGTTGCCGTATATTTAGGCATATAATAAATATAGTGTATTCTGTCGTTAACAAAATATCGGATAAACATTTTCTGTTTTAATAAGAACTCCACTCATTAGAAATACGACAGAACGAACGACATTTTTACTTCATCTATTTTGAAAAAAAGTATTTTTGCTCTTCACTTATTTGTAAATACTGTAAATTTGTAAAATGATATTTTGTAAATAAATTCACAGAGACTCCAGAAGAATCAGAGACGAAAATTTGGATAATTGTACCAGTAGTTGCAGCTGTTGTCATTATATTGATTGTTATTGCTGTACTCATCTTTAAATGGAAACTAAAACCAAAGTAAGTAGTGGTATGCAAATCATGTTGAATGCCTCCTTTTATTTGTAATGATATTGTTGATAGAACAAATCCCTGTAACACGATCAGGTGCCTATTATTAGTAAGGAACCACACCATTTGTTGTCTTTTGTCATACTTTAATATTGTTGTTGTTTTGTCATTATGACAAATCGATGACACTGCATGTCTTTGATAGCCTCTGATAGATGAACTAAAATGTTATTAGAATCGGGGCAATTTGCAGTTAGACCCTTTTCATAAACACTTCTCTATGTTGATATATCATTGTATATTGAACCGCCTCGGTGGCCTCGTGGTAGCGCGTTAGCCTCGAGTGTAGGAGGTCGTGGGTTCGAACCGCAGCCAGGTAGAACAAAAGACTTTGAAATTGGTATTTGCTGCTTCTCCGCTAAGCACGCGGCAATAAGGAGTTAGAGCAAAACTGGTCGGCTCGGAGTCGGAATAATGTGCCCGGGTAAGGTTTCATGTCTTCTTGCGGACTGTTACCTTGTGAACTAGCACGTTAAAAATCCGGCTCAGTGTGTCAGTCTAGTACAAAGCAAGGTAAATATTCATATTACATTAACATGTTCTCGTCCTGAATATGCATATCAATTTGCAACTGGACGTTAAGCAGCCATTCATCATCATCATCTTCATTGTAAATTGAATGTCCTCTTGGTGTCGTTTGGTCTCGTTTTTTGAATTCCCCTTATATGTTTTAGATGTTGTTTTTTTCTGTGGGAGGGGTAGGGAGTTTTTAATAGGTTTTTTATTGTTTTTTATTTGTCATTTTAAAAAACGAAAAAAAAAACCAAAACATTCCCTTCCCCTCCCACAAAAAACACCCGATTAATCGTGTCAGGTTACTGCGTCATTAAGATTTACCCCAGATCGTGTTATTCATATAAAAACGTTATTAATAAAAATAAAATGTTAATCAGACAGTTATATAGATAAGAACCTGCTAGTACAAGGAGAGTATAAGCACCTACTAGTACAAGGAGAGTATAAGCACCTACTGGTACAAGGAGAGTATAAGCACCATCAGTAGTTTAAGAAAGTTTTTGATACAATTCCGGAATATACAAATTGTGTATATGGAAATAATCTTCAGAAGGTACGAGTGTGACTGCACAAACACAAAACCCCAGGAAAAATGTTCGAAAAGGAGTTCTAGAGTATTTAAACAGCTATTAACATATTGGTTAGCAAATTCTCCGTATGAATTAGCACAAAATTCGATAATTTTTTGGTTTCAAATTTTTTCTGCTTCGACATTGATTTGGCCTTCCTAATGTTTTGATTTGAGTTCAATTGATGAGTCTTATGAGCAGACGAAACAAGCCTTCATGTAATTTAAACCATTGTCGTGACGTCAGCCTATTCATTTACCGTGGATTCTTTTTCTAGAATCAACGCTTCCTAAATTTGTCGCTGAAATGGATTCACCAAAATATATTCAATTGTTTCCTTTGTGTGCCTAATTCCATTAAGTTTGAATTGGCTAATTTACTGATTTCTGTTCACGAATGGAATTAATTTAAAAACGTACCTTTAATTTTTGTAATTTTTATATGTCTTCACTGGGAATCGAACCATTCCTTGAAATCTGTTATGTGTGACTGACATTAACATATCGACGAAACCTCTCGGCTACCAATAGGTTACAATTTAAATGTCTATTATATATATATAAATGAACAAGTGATATACATCGGTACAACGGACACACCTTTATATATACATAATAGGCAATCGTATAGTATAAGTTGGTAGCCGCGATGTTAGCATGGTTCAAAACAATGAGTTAAAGAGTCAATTTAAAGGTAGGGACTTGTCGGTTTTTTTTTTTATTTTGTATGTAATTATTGTGGATATTTTTGTAATAATAGTGAGTTCTACCGTATATTGTTGTCTATTTCACATATTTGAAAGGAAAATGATTACATTCAATTTGTCCATTTTTGATTTATAAATAAAGTATGATTTCATCTGTTTTACTACATAATTTTAAAAATGTTTATTCGCATATTCTTATGCGAGTAAATCGTGATGCGCCTAGAATTAGGCTTCTTGCTAGAAATTTCGGCTACATACTTATTAAATCTACTTTATATATGCTCTTTGGTCAGGTTGTTGTCTCTTTGACACATTCCCCATTTCCATTCTCAATTTTATTAGAAATAAGTTCGAATATGTCTAATTTTGTAAACACAAATATTATTCAGATGCCTGATAATTTAAAGACAGACGTGTTATGTTATATTGGTATTTCTCTAACCAATTAATTGTGAACTTCTATTTATTAATGCATCGTTGAACATGATAACATGGTTATTTAAACTCACTTACAATACCTTCTAATTAAGAAAAGGCTTTAATTTTGAAAAGGCATTAACACAATAGTTTAAGTTATAGATACAATGGATAAGCGTTGATTCATGAAAAACAAACCATTCGCCCTCCGGGCTCATGGTTTCTTTTTCAAGAATCAACACTTATTCATTGTATCTATATTCATATTAAGCGTACTATCTTTGAATGTCCGTTTTAAATCATTCCAATACTAAATCACTGGCTATTGATGACTGTCGTCATAATTCGCATATAAATGTTTAAAAATTACCACATTAAGATTTTAATTTAGATGTACCGGTACATGTATGCTTTCCTTTATTTACTAGTATTTGATAATATATCATTGAACTTTATATTTCCTTTGACTAATATATTGAAATTTATAAAATGAGAGTTTTATATAAGACATCGAAGAACCTGGAAAAAAACTCGGTCTGTGTCTTTAGATATATACGACATCTTTAGAAAATCTATAATTATTATTTCTTAAATTCTTTGGCAATTTTATTCTTTCCGGGCCCTTTGTATAAAAATATATCTTTAAATCTTTGGCATTTAACCCCTTCCGGACCCATTGTATAAAAAGATTTAATCAACATGTGGTTGTTGATGATCTCAGAAGATGATTGACATAACTTTTATCAGTTCACTGGATGATATGCTAACAGGTGTTAATGAAATTGACAACTTTGTGGAATGTGGAAGGCAATCGAAAGGGATTTTCGTTTATCGAAAATGAAATTTTTTTTGATAATCATTAGAGAAACAGATTCTTACATAGTTATTCGTGGATTATCGGATTTGTCCAATCTCGATAGTTAAATTATCAATTTTAATTTAACCATCGAGATTGGATAAATCCGATAATCCACTGGTACCAATGTAAGAATCTATATATAGAATATTTAATTCGGTAACTATGGTAATTATTTTAGGAAACGTCACTGTAATACAGTTATGAATTATAATTGTATTTAAGAATTGAATACTTCTTTTTTGTAATTCTATTGGAGTGTAAAATCGTTGACCGAAGCACATTTTGTATGAAGCGCTTCATATTAAAAAAGGGCGCACGAGTAACACTTTCATAAAGATTCAATTCTCATGATTACATTTTATGCTACAACCATGAAATTAAGAGTTATCTCAAGCTTTTTGTTTGTTTTTCAATGCATTATTTAATCCTTGTCACGGATAGTACGTGCAGTCATAGTTATTGTATTTTATTTTAAGAATTGAATGCTTCTTTTTGTAAAATCATTGGGGTGTAAAAGCGTTGACCGAAGTACATCTAAAAATGTACGCACGGTCAACGCTTTTACAACCCAATGAAATTACTAAAAGAAGCATTCAATACTTATAATTACATTTTTTCGCTATGATCATGAAAACACGATTACTATCATTTTTTTCTTTTATTTACCTGTGCACTTTATTGTGGAAACGTGTGTCATGTTTCAATTCATGAAATTCATTTTCAAATGAAGAATGTCGCGAGATTGCTGTTAGCCAATCAAAATAACGTATAATAATGTAACATACATCTAATGTAATTATACGGAAATAAAATATGATATTGGAATACCTCTCGATTGTTGTCAGCCAATCAAAATAACGGATTATGATGAAACATACATGTAATGTAGTTATATGTAGATACAACTAAGATAGTTAAAAGTTTTTGTTCTTTTCATTTCAGACAGTCTTATATAAGAGATTCAACATTAAGCCTACCAAACACAACACAACAGATTGCGCCAAACTCTCATTTTCTGACATCTGAACACATATTTCTATCTGAACAATTCCGATCTGAATCTGCAACTGACTTAAATGAATCAAAGTATGGTTGGAAGTAGATGACCTAAATAACAGATAGTGTAGTGCAATTTGCACTATTGCTGTAATTTTACCCTAATGAATGTGCCAAAATTATTACATTGAATATAAATGTATATGTATACTTTATTGTAAATGTCCGTGATATAATATATTATTTAATACCATTATTGCAGTTTTTAACAGATATATTTAATAATGTAAAGAAAAAGAAAATAGGACGGAAATACAGTTGAAAAATACGTTGCTCTAAACCTACTGGAATTGTGTTGTATCTTGTATTTTTTTCTGTTTATTATTCCTTCGTGTCACATTGAGATTCCCGGACGTTTTTTTTTATTTCTAAACCAAAATAAGACCAATAGCTTAAATGAACAAAAGAAAAGAAAAGAAAAGGAACATTTAGTTCATGGGATAATATTTCGAATCCTGCTTCATCCTTTCATATCCCGCCTTTTGTGAAAAGATTACAATTGCGTAAAACATTAACGGTACAAAATCAACCTATATAAACATTGGTGGCCTTCGGCTGTTGACTGCTCTATGGCCGGGATGTTGTCTCTTTGACACATTCCCCATTTCCATTCTCAATTTTATTCAATAAAGGAAAATTTTATAAAATCAAATCGACAGACGACTTATTTAGAACAAGATCAGATACATATGTGTTAACATACAAATGATTTAAAATACAGCCAACAGTTACTGTGGACAATCAGATGATAATTCTCACTCCTGTATTCCTGCATTTCATCCTTCTAGTAATATTCACATTGTGTATAGGCCATACTCATCTGTGTTGCTGGCACACATACTAAATTATCGATGATCCATAGATAAGTATAAACCAGTGACATATATCAAGATGAAGAGGCATGATGTAGTAAATTTTAGGAGTATTCTCCTGTGGCGAGGCATTATAAGGTTTTATGAAATATCCGTTAGTATCTATTCTCTTATAGATGTTATCTTTTTTCCCTCATGTAAAAATATTTCTCTTATTACAATTAACATAATATGGTTATCTTTTGGTTGCTGTATCATTGACGTTAACTCAACTTCTCATTTTAAGCTCACCTTTCGGCCAGGTCAGCTATAGGCATCACTTGGCGTCCCGGTCCGTCGTCGTCTTAAACTTTTTCAAAGATCTTCTACTCTGAAACTACTTAAAAGAGAGGCGAAAGATACCAAAGGGACATTCAAACTCATAAGTCGAAAATAAACTGACAACGCCACGGATAAAAAAGAAAAAGACCAACAGACAAATAACAGTACACAAAACACAACATAGAAAACTAAAGACTGAGCAACAATAACCAACTTAACCAATTTCAGCCAAAGTTTGGTCGAATAATCCTTAGGGTATCTAGTATAAGTTTGTGTTTTCCCCGTCTGTCAACAAACATGGCCGCCATGGTTTAAAATAGAACATCGGGGCAAAATACCTTCATTGTCTTATATCTTAAAACTATAATAGATAGAGAAAATCTGAAAGGTAATAAATACTCAAAATGTCAGGATCTACATAGTTTTGTTTGCACCAAACTTATGAGATGATTCCCTAAAGAGTTACATGTATGGTCATTAAATGATGTTTTTTTTTACTATTTTTCAAGTTTGTGCCTATTATCGCAAAAACCGAAATAAAAAGGAAGAAGCTGTAATCAGCGAAATGGATTCAAAATACACAAAAATGGTAGTTCGTCCGAATTTATCGGACAACTATTATATGATTTTTTGCCCTTACATTTAGATTTTTGACAATTTTTTTGTTTTTTCAATTATCTTGAAAACTCTAATAGAAAAGTTGAAAATGGTAAACAGCATAAATTATGAGCAATAGGAGACCTTTAAAAAAAATTAATGTTCGAAAACATTGGATGAGAGTTATTGCCCTCAAACGATTTTTTTTTTCTTAATTACAAGTTTTTGCCTATCATCTTGAAAAATATAATTGATAAGCAGAAACTGCGAACAGCAAATGTGATCAGTTATACAAGTTCTACAAAAATGCTTATGTGACTGTGACTTTCAAATGATTCACTTCTGGACTTCTTGCCCTTAGGAGCCGATTTTAGTTAGTTTTCGAGTATTTGTCTCTAATCTCAAAAGATATAATGGATAGGTACAAATTGTAACAGCAAAAATAATCTGTATACAACATCTACAAAGATTTCAAAATGACAGAAAACATTGGCTGACTCCTTCAAAGTAGTAATTGTCCTTAAAGACAGTTTTGTTTTAATTACCTTTCGAGCTTTTTCCTATAATATTATTTTTTTTTTGTAGCTGAGCGATTGGGGCTCTTGAGAGCCTCCTGTTATCCATATCTTGGGTTTTTTCTCTTCGTTTGGACTATTGAAAGTCGACCAATATGTTGTGGAATACCAGTGAAATGAATTGTACACCATTATTCTGCAGATTGAAGTAATTCAAATTATTGAGTATTGTTTACTTAAAGTCCAGTGACAAATATTTCATGCATAAAATTAAGATGAAACGGTGGTGTGGGGTTGATATTTGATCATGATATTTTGCATGCACGTGTATTGCCTTAAGACGGAGCGACGCATAGCGTCATGATCTTCATGTAACCTTGAACTTTGACCTCAAGATCAAAATATTGGATTTTAAAGGGCATTTTTGCGTCCAAAAAGAAATCGCTATCCTTTGACATTAGTTTTTTTTTATGTTTGCCACGTGGGGGCATAATCACAAGACGACGTGTCGTCCACTATGGAAAACAATCTCTGACCTTCAAGGTCATATAACTAATTTTTATATGTCCACCTATATATTCTTGCTTGCTTTATTAAGACCTTTTCAATTTAACTAGGGCTTCCTCAGTATAAAAATAAGGAAATGTGGTATTATTGCCAATGACACAACTATCCACCAAAGTTCAAATAAAGTGGATTTAAGCAATTATAGGCAACCGTACGGCCTCCAATAATGAGAAAAACCCATACCGTATAGTCGGCTATAAAAAGCCCCGACATAAAAATATGAAGCAATTCAATTGAGAAAACTAATTTTTAAGAAAACAATTTACGAGAAACAAAAATAACAGACATGAACTAACGACAACCACTGAACTAAAGGCTCCTGACTTGGGACAGGCACATAATGAGTATGGCGGGGTTAAACATTTTTGTGAGCGCTCAACCCTACCCTTAACCTGGGACAATGGTGTTACAGCACAACATAAGAACGAACTATAAAAATCAGTTGAAAAAGGCTTAACTCATCAGATCTATACAAAACAGAAAAAACATAAAACAGACCGGACGTGGCAGGGTACTTATCCATCCCTCATCTCTAACAATAAAAAGGACACTCAGTACAGATCTGGCAAATTGACCAGTTTTCCACCGTGGTAGAAGTTTATAATAAAATTGTCTGGCTGTAGCGTGTACCATGCTGGTCCTGAACACGCTACAGCAAGACATTTAATTCTGTGTCCACGATTCATCTACCAGTAAAACATCGACGTGGTTAGCGGGCTGCCAAGCTGATCGACCTGGCCCTGAAAACAGTCGTTTTGAAGAAGACTTCTTTAAAATCCATAATAGTAAAGAAACAAAATCAATATACCCAAACCAATATCGTTGCCTTTTCCCCGTCCAACTTTACAACAGCAACAATATTCTAAAGGTCACCAAACGCCAGGGTACCGAGCCGACCATGGAGGACTAAAAAGCCAGTCAAGGTCGTCAAACACTCACCGGACCCGGATTTACAGGTGAAAAACATAAAAGAAGGTTGTAGCAACATTTAATAAAAGTGTACACAAGCAATTAAACTTAACATTATCAACACATATGTATAGTTCTGTGACCAATATCGATATAAACCAACACATGGTTAGAAGATAAGTGTGGACGGTATCGTAAATGATCCTGATTGTGGACGAAAAATAATTTGTTTCTAATAAACAAACAAACAGAGGCTGAACATAAATACCTAAACAAAAAATAGATGAATGGAGATAATTAAAAGTTTAAAACGAAAAAAATAAATATTCATTAAATAAGGCAGATTAATTGTAAGAGTCAATTGACATGGCTCTGTTACAGTAATAGATATACATGTTATTAACATTTTTGAATAGAATGTTCCGTTAAAGGCGTCGTGATAACAATTTTATCTGCAATGTTCTCTAAATATGTAGATCATTTCATTTCTAGCCTTTCACAAAAATAAGCATGCACTTCTAAAATAGAGGAGAGGATATGGTAAGGCCACGTTTTATGGTCCTTACATTTGAAAATTGAAAGTTATATTATATTTTATTTATTATATATATTTTATATAATGAATCTTCCAAATAACATATTTAAATGTTCATGACACATTTATCTATCATATATCAGTAAATTTGTCAATGAATTTTGTTTTACATGTTTGTAGTAGGACTTAAAATTACTTGAGTTTATAATAACCAAATAGTAGCCTCATTTTGAGATTTGTCATTAATATTTAGATGTGAAAAAATGTCTTACCTAAACAATATATTTTGTCACACGATTAAAAAAAGATATCAGTTTGTATATAACATGCAAATGAATAAACTGTTATCTCAAACATTTTTCAAACGATAACATTTTATGTTTCATTTAACATTTGGTAGGGTAACAGATTACGCAAGGACAAGGACCGTTGATTCACATTTTTGAGCTGTTGGGAACAAAGCAGATATATATATATAAAGCGATCATATAAGATTATAATAAATGAAAGAAAAACCTTAACGTAAGTTGTTATCTTTTTCACAGAAGAAAAAAAAAAACACAATGAAATAATATTGTAAGTTTTTGGTCTATACTATATCTAATTGGAAACAAAATGAGCTGTTTAAAAACCAAGAGAATGGTAATGCATCATTGACTTATGCAATATTAAAAGTCACTGTAAATGCTTCATGTTTTCGAGTCATTTAAAATCATATATCAAAATAATTTTCTTTATGACAAGTTATTTTAGTGCTACAGTGACGTGACAGCTTTGGAACAATCTAATTAGCTGCATATATATGTTGTAAAAATGTAATTTAGAAAATATAGAACAAACTTCAAAATATTTGTGCAATATCACTTTTCTAAATAGAATTAATATAAACATACAAAAATAATAATATAATCAAATATGTCGGTACATTAAAAATCACAAGCACATTTAGATTAACGCCTTTAAAAAGATTAATAGTTGTTTTAAAAATAGCTCTTAGCTTGTTCTCTCAAATTTATAATTATCATCTTTTGTCTTAAATATGCCAGTATAATATGAAAAATAATTTGAACAATCTGTGTATTTACAAACGTCAAGTTTGATCTTCCTGAAAGCAAACCATTATGTTACTTGTTGTAAGCCCACCAGCATGGCCATGACAAAATATCTAATGTCTTTTCATTTATGCATAGTTAGTACTATTTGGTGGCACTAGCATCGAATCTATGGGGATAAATTGATGTTCAAGGACATAAGGTCTTTCTGTTTGGTTCTTCTGCAACTGTTTAATTTTGTCGTTTTGTAACGTTTCGTCATAACTTGGTGGATCCCTTTTCTGTACACTTACACAACTGATCGATCGCTTTTGTGCTGTTCTTTGCAATACGAATCTTTAAAAGAAAGCAAAACAGTTAACACACATTGGTATGCTGATCTTTCTGCATTCGTGTCTTTAGATTTTTAAATTTCTAAAAAAACGAAGGCAATTCTATTATTTGATGTCAACACAGAAATTACTCCAAAAAGTAATTGAAGGAATATGCATAATAATTGTATTATGCATTAAATTTTATACTATAAAACAGAATCATATATAAAAGTGTTTTGTGGATTATGAAAAACAAAAAATATCTAGGGCAATTTATCGCACCATATATATGCAGTTTGTCCCAAACAATGCAGACGTTAATCTCTTATCAGGAGCGGCTTGAAAACATGTAAAAGTTATCAATTTCGTGATTAAAAAGTGATTGCTAAAGAAGACAAACATTAACAACAATCTATAGTCTATCTCATAGTGTTAGGTTTTATAGATATGTTGTGAAAACTGTAATTGTTGGTAAAGCGACAGTTTACATTTTTGAGCTAATGTGTTCAAACTTATTGTTGGAATAAAATATAATATAATATGCAACTGTGTTGATCTACTCAAGGAAACCTATTTACATTTGACAGTATGTTAGTCTCTGGGCCCAGCACATGTTTTAATATCAACATGTTCTTTTTGTGTAATTTTTTTTTCATTATAAACGTTATTTAAACAAAAATTTATTCAAATGATTCTTAAAATAGTCTTTAATATAAAACTAATAACAATAAAAAAAAAATAACAAAATAAACTTACTTTACAAGAAGTATAGTCAGCAATATGGCGGATAATACTGCAAGAATAGCTACGATAACCCAGATGAAGCGTTTGTCTTCTGTATCATTATCATCTGTCAAAGTATATTGAATAACATGTATTTACGTAGAACAATATATGAAAATTGGCATTGCTCCTATTAATTTTTTTACCAATATCGGTTGTTAATATGTGAAACAAGGTAATTATAATTTGTTTTAAAACATGTGTTCCTCATTTTATTTTGGAACCTCTTCTCTGTGAATTCCTTCAAAGTTAGACTTCAAACCGCAGTTTATTCAATAATATCCAATGACCTTTTCTTTTTAAATGTACAACTTTGAAAAACCTATTTCTGAAATTTATGACATATTTTCAACCATACGGGTTTTCAATTTAAAAAAAATCTCAACAATTTAGCTTCTTTATTCAATATTAAGAGTTGAAAATTATTTGTATCCGTTTCACAATATTTAAAAAAATTATTAATATGGCACCTCTTTATACCAAAGGTACAAATTTGAGTTGTTAACGTTTACGCAAATTGTAATAACTGTAAATAATTTTACCTATTTGACTCCTTGCGGTGGTAGTTGTAGGATCAGGGACAGGTAAGGTACCTTTAAGTTAATAATAGAGGTAATTAAATAAAAGACGAAATGATAAAACTCTCTTTCATTTCTTTAACATGGTACACTACTAAAATAATTAAGCACCCAAATGGTTGACAAGCGTATAGAAATATAATCATTTGATTAGTCTATTTCCGACTGCCGGCTATACCCTTACTGAAGTGGGGCGTCCGTTTGGCTATGTGAAATTTATAAATTGCAACCACGTCCGGTCAGAATGGGAACATAACATCCGATGCCTCGTGAAGACTGACAAGCTCTCTACACGCTAAGAATTCTTGCAACATTTTTTTGAGAGGTCCATAGGTGGCTTGTTGCAGGGCGTAAGTTCTGTACCTATCTAATTTGTCCACATTTTCAAGTGGTTGTCCAAATTTCCCACAATTCATCGCTAGACCTCTTGCAGGACCTACCTTTAGTATTAATTGTTATTTTGTTCTTGTCCTGAACATGTGTGGAATATTTGCCCCTAAACATTTAGCAAATTGTAATCAATCAATCAAATAATCCTTTACATCCATGTAAATAAAGAATTGAAAACACAATACAGATTTTTCTGCACATTGGATACTTAAAATTAACGAATATCGTATTTCTTTGCATATATTTTGTGCAAGGATATGTTGTCAAATATTACGGCTATCAAAAGTTATAGACAATAATGTAACACGATATTTCGAAAAAAAATTAAAAAACATTATGGTTATTGATCTTCAACAAACTGATTTACCTCACTTACGTCTAATACATGCACTTCATACAAATATATTTTAGAGATGAACGGCAAAAATAATAAACAGTATAGAATGAAGAAGATTTATAAAATTAAACATCCTTACCAATTGCAAAAAAGTAAGTATGATGTATGGATTATATTTTTCAACATGAATACGACATTTCCGAAGTGGCTTTTCCTATGACAATTTCTTTAAAAGAGAGTTGTTTCTTACAAGAAATCTATTGAACAAAAGGTTCTAACTAGTAAAATTGAAGTTATCCCTTCGAACGTTTTACAGCAGCGTCATAATATAGAAAACCAATAGGAGCCTGGTGTTTAGTGGTTGTCGTTTGTTGTTGTGGTTCATAAGGGTTTCTCGTTTCTAGTTTTTTTATATAGATTAGACCGTTGGTTTTCCTGTTTGAATTGTTTTACACTAGTCTTTTGGGGCCTTTTATAGCTTGATGTTCGGTGTGAGCGAATGCTCCGTACGCGTGTTGAAGGCCGTACTTTGACCTATAATTGTTTACTTTTTACACATTGTGACTTGAATGGATAGCTGTATCATTGGCACTCATACAACATCTTCTTATTGATATGGAATATATCTGGCAAAGATGACTACGAATATTATCCAAACGTTGTAGCCACAATCCTGTCCGTTTTTTTCTCGATGGTAATTTCAAACTGGTCACTGAATTTGTACTTGATTTGAATAACGAATGATATCACATGTGGGACAGGATCAGCTGATCGCTCCAGAGCAACTAAGATCTACCCCGATTGCAATTATTGTTGTCCAGAGCGAATGATTTAGTCTGGTCTTTAACCCAATTTTAAGCACTCTTGGTTATATCTTGCCAGTCAGTTTTAATTGGCAGAACAAGCTGGAGAACCCTGAGAAAACAACATTCCTTCGCCAGGAAAATTGGCAGTCATTAACAATTCAGATCGGAGTTGAACGCACCTTGTTAAAGCTGAATTTGTTCTCACAATCTTAGTGATGACAGGATAGAAACTAGATTAATCATATCGCCCGACAACCGCGGTCCCAAGGTTGCTCTGTCTCTAGTTTTTTTATGTTCTGTTTTGTAGACTGTTGTCTTACGAACAGATATTTCGAACGAAATGTGCTGAGTAGTTTTACAGGAGACCATGACAGATTGTCTTTGTTTATTAAAATGTATATCCTACATATTTCAACAGTCTGTATGCTGCATGTATATGTGTTATTCTTACCAAAACAGTAGGCAGATTTGTCAACATTCAACTGTGTCAAGTAATAAGTCCTGTAGTTCCCACAATTCCGAACCTTTATATCAAACTTCTGGTCACAGTTGCTTAATAATCCTGAATAACATACTTTTCTATCAATGGTTTTGTCTGAAACATCGGGTATGATCCCTAAAATATTGATATTTGATTAAGGACCTGGTTAAAATATCAAAATAATGTGATAAAAGCTTGACATTTTAAATTTATGTTTTATTGCTAAAATTGTAGCAAGTTTTTTGTTATTTCATTTTTAAATTGCATTCAGTCATATTTCATAACTTCAAAATTTAATCACAAAGAGGTCAACATTCGCAAGTACAGTATTGCATAAAAATATTCACCGTTCATCCACAATGGATATAAAGTACCACACTGCATCATAGAAACGCTTTCATTGACTATGTCATTTCCTGTCACACTATCGATCTTGTACCATCCTGTTGTTAATCGACTGTCCTCTATCGCAACATCGGTATCCTGTAGTGTATAGTTCGAGGACCGTTTCATTTCTCCAACGAGTATTTCGTAGTTACTGCTATGACATGGGTCGACTTAAAAAATGGAATAACTTTATTAAATTTCTCTGTTTTGCACTATCAATTAGTGATTTGCTTTATAAACTGCATTGTTCAATATTTAAAAACATCAGGCATGTTTGTTAGTATTATGTTTCCTTATTGTTACAGTTACATAAAAAAAAGAACCTTTATGAGCAAGGCTCACATGCCCATCGGCCCCACATTGCCACTAGGCAAACAAAATGTCACCAGATTCCTTATGTTCAAAGACTCATAACTTCTACAAAAGTCAACTGATAAAAATTTCTTGTGGATATGCACATTAACATATCATGTCCTTATTATCTACAAAGTTTCATGAAATTTTGTTGTGTTGATTCAGAGGAGTTGTGATGACAAACTATTGCAGTGGTGTATATAGGCAAAAAATTCTATGTTCAATTGGACATAACTTCTAGAAAAAAAACTGAATCATAATTTCCTGTCGATATGCACATCTACATAGTATGTCCTTCTAATCTACAAAGTTTCATGAAATTCTGTTGGTGGTATTAGAGGAATTACGATGACCATCTGTTGCAGTAGTATATTTAGGCCAAAATTCTAAGTTAAAAGGGGCAAAACTCCTAGAAAAAAAATTGAATCATAATTTCCTGTCGAAATGCACATCTACATAGAATGTTTTTATCATGTACAAAGTTTCATGAAATTCTGTTGTGTGGATTCAGAGGAGATGTGATGACAAAATTTTGCAGTAGTAGATTTAGGCCCTTTCTAAGTTCAAAGGGGCATAACTCCTAGCAAAGAAATGGAATCATAATTTCCTGTTGATATGCACATCTACACAGTATGTCCTTGTAATTTACAAAATTTCCTGAAATTCTGTGGTGTGGTTTCAGAGGAGTTGCGATAACATCAGGACTGACGGACTGAGGGACGGACAAACAGACGGACGGTTCAAAAACGTTATACCCCACGGAACTTTGTTACGTGGGGTATAATAAAAAGTAACATGAATCTACCAAATGACAACCTTTAGATATTCATAAGACATCAGTATTGATATTTATGGATTTTGTCTTACATATTTGCATTATTGCTTCAAACTTCATACGTTTAGTGCTAAACAACAAAAAGTGCCAAAATAAATTCCCTTTGAGATCTGTTCATTAAAATATATGAACAATAGCTTTTCGCTAAAAGATATTTTTACAAAATGTATTGTACAAAGATGTTAATGTGTGAAACATATCCTTTTGGGTAAAGCTTTCGCTCAGATATATTTAGATTAAACAATGAGTGAAATTGCCAAATTAAATGAAATACGCATACTTCGACAATTTTATGACGTCATACTGAAATCACAAGTAACTTTTCTCGCCTAAAGTGTCTAGATTATAAAAAGAGCTATTCATTTATTAATAAACATAAACATAAATTTTAAAGACTTAAACAAGTTAACTATTTTAGCAATTTCAGGGGCCACAAAAATGGCTCTTACATGCATTTAATTATTATTTGGACTACAAACGATAAGACATAACACATTATCCTATCGAAACCATAACAACATCAAAAATAAATACATGAATGTTGGATGTACAAAATACCGAGACACGTCGTTTAGCAATGCAAATTCACACTCGGTAAAACGGTCATATTCGGGAATATGACAATGATGGTATTGAAAGGCAATTTTATAATTATTTGGACTACAAACGATAAGACATAACACATTATCCAACCGAAACCATAACAGAAACATCAAAAATAAATACATGAATGTTGGATGTACAAAATACCGAGACACGTCGTAAAGCAGATTATGACTCGCGTAACCGAGAAATATAAGCCACAACCCTGATTTTGCACATCTTAAAAAGTTCCAAAATCTGTGTACCCATAGACCGAAGAAATTGTACCCCTCTGCTAATGATCTTATATATTCTGTCGCTTTTATTTCAACCTCTTCAAAACAGAAATAGTTGTTATTTTGTACTTTGAAGCCTGGTAACTCAAAACAGTAACATTCTCTTTAAATCAAAAAATATTAAAAAGGTGTTTCCCTTAAATCAGGTCAGTAATACTTCACATTTTAATTATTGTCGTTTAGTTGATAATTAGTGTGATTCTTCAGCAGATTTGTCTGATAATTATTTTATAAAACTGTAAGTGTGGACACATTATTAATAATAATTGTTAAAAATTATCAATATTTGTCCATTGAATAACATACGCACTTTCACATCCTGGTGTAAACCCTCCATTATCCGAAGTTTCTCCCTCTGGACATTTCAATTCAGAACCTAAAATGATTTTTTTTTATTATTATATAGCTGCTCAACATATATAACAATTACATGTACATTTTATTTTACAAGTAAACACACATATTTGTTAATACAAAATCGCAATGCAAAATACGGTATGTTTGGACATTGAAATAGCTTCCTGGGTGTAATGGTTACAACTGGTCCAAAATTTGAAATGACAGATGATGGATACATAGTCGCAGATTCTAAATTAGTACTGTTTATTTCCCTGGAATCACTATGTCACAATGAGTTTTAGCGAGCCACCTTGTTTTAAAATTTGCCTGTCTATTTTCTGAAAATATTCCAATTGTTTCGCATTTCCCCGACGTGACCGTTTTAACGCATCCTCTGTTGATCACTTGTTTTGGTTCATGCAATTGCCTCAGATATAATTTATAGTTTGGTATATTTGAAATAGATATACTCGGTCAGACGGATGTGAAACAACTATTGACTCATATAGATTTCAAATGTCCCTACTGATTTCATTGTTGACTTTTTGTGGTTTTTGCTGTTTAAAGATAAAAATAATTTTTTGTTAAAAGGCATTTTCTTACAATGCATAGATGAAAGGGGGAAACATCATAAATTCGCCGACATAATATCTAGCATCCACTTGTAGCTTTTAAGTTCTAGATTTTTAGTGCTTTAATCTTCTTCATTCTCATAGTGTATATATGATACTTCTTATGGAGAAAACTTACCAAAGCAATAAGCCTGATCATGGTGACACTGGAATCAAATTGTACACAAGATAATCTGTACAGTTCTTGACTTCAATGTCATAAGAGTATTTACAACAATCTCCGTCATAATATGCTGCGCATGCTTCAACTGTTTTCACAACACCGGCGTCTGGATACGTTCCTAACATGAAGTAAAAAAAAAGAGTGAAAAAAACCCAAGTTCATTCGCATAAATAATCAAAATAGAAAAAGTTTCAAAATATTATAACTAACAAGCAAAATAAAAAGCAAACAAAAATAAAGCAAGAAAGAGAGAAAGATAAGACAAGAAAAAAAACTTTGTTACAAATCTGGTTCGAACATATTTCACAGAACAGACAGAACAAAAATTCTTAAGTCTAGTTTGATTACTACATTTTTACTATTCAGTCAAAATTGATATTTTTTCAAAGTTAGAAGCAATAGCAGATATTCATATTTCAAAATTAATGTAATCATGTGTAATTGCTTTAAATTTGCCAAGGTGTCCATAGCAATGAAGTGACATGTCTTGGTAGATTTGGGCCAGATACATATATTAATTAAAACGTTCAACTTAACCAAATAAAAATGATACTAAAAAGAATATTATGTGCTTTATTAAAATATCAAATGTGAAAAGTGACTAGAATCATTTTTTTTTAATTATTTATATGATAGAATGCACAACATTCATGTTGCCTAAAGTGTACTGAACGAGAAACCTGGCAGAAGACATTTATGAACTAGCTAGAACATAATTATATATGGCTACATTTCAAAATCATTAGTAGAAATAAAATGCTTTCCTTTTCCTCTCTGTATCAACAAGGAAGACCCGTTATTGTTGAAGTTTTTTTCCAATCACATATTGTTGGGTTAACAAGTAATTGTAAATTTTATTAAGAAGGACATGACAAAGAAGAATGAATTAAGTCGTCTCTTTAAGACAATTAACAGTTTGAATTTACTTACTATAAAAACTGTTACAAGAATGTAAACATACCATTCATCCATATTGAAAGTGTTGTTCCACACCTCATTCCTACAAAGACACATTCTGTTGGCATCCGTTCTCCAGCATAGCTAGTGATACGGTACCATCCAGCTTCTAAAGTATTGTCACACAGAGTGAAAGGTGTTTCAGCATTTGCTACGGACCTAGTACTTGCATCTGGTGTATCCAAAACTTTATAGGTAAGACATGGATCGCCTGAAAGTAAACGAACATTAAATCAACAGAATTAGTAGTTGTCCAACATCCCTATCTTTCTTTTTATTAATACTATTATTGAAATTATCATTATTATTATTATTATTATTAAGGTTGATGTTGTCGTTTGAGAATTTCTTTTCATCATAGTTATATGCATTTTTATTTAAAAACCAGGGGCCTGGTTTTCAAAAGTATCTAAAGAAGTGTAGTACGATAGATCATGGAAGTTATATTTAAAAGGAATCACAACGACTAATTAGCATGCATTAACAGCCTGCAGAGCTCTGTACTAAAGTCATATGATTTTATCCAATTATAGTCTCAGCGGCAAGACCCCTTTGGGTACTATCTGTGATACCGCGGTTGTAAAATGGAATCTGGAATTTCTTATCAGTCACGTAATTTTATCGAGTCCGGTAATTATAAAGCACCTGTGTGAAATCCGAGGTTTATTGATAAGAAGGTGGCGCTGTATCATATAAAATCTCTACCTTCAGAAAGAAGTCGTATGATGTAAAAAACTTGAAAAACGGACGAGAATTGTTCAACCTGCAACAGTTTAGCATGGAAAATTGTATTCAATTTAGCATATTTTTGATTTTTACCGTTTGTTTTAAACTGTTCCAAAAGTGAAAGCGGATCCCAAGTAAAACAGTTAAATACCGATGAATCGATCCGGTTTCACATGATGTTTAACAAAATAATGTAGACAAATCTAGACATAGATTTTTTTACTGTTGAAATGTGCAAAGTTTATCGAGAAGTATTCTAAATTTATGTATATGTCATAAATGTCATTGATTACATTATTGAAACTGGACAGCTAAAATTGGTATAATATGGTCGTAAACATATATTTTTTTAAAAAGTGTTTATTGTGGAATACTTGTATTAATATAACAAGCTACAGCAAAAATTAAAACAAACCGACAAAATGAGCTTGACGCTATCTGTCGTACGGCAAATTCATTTTTACACGAATTAGTTTATGTATCAAGAACTATAAATTAAAGGATAGAACCGTTTAGAATTGTGAATACTTTAATTGACTAATACACGAAAGACTTAGATTATTAGTATTTAATGAAAGGGGGTCCAAACGTATTTTTTGTACAATCATCTTCTTAACTTACGGAAATGGCTTTTTTACTGCCTGTAAATATCAAAATTTAAAATGACCCAGCCTTGTTCTCCAATTTCATATGTGATAGCTGTCGGTACTATTAAAATCGAACTAACCAGAAATAGGAAAATTGGACTAAAATAAAAATTGAACGAATGACTCTATTCGGCAGGGTACATCAACGGAATGTAACGAATGGACTATTCGGGTTACTTCGCACGTATAAACGACAAACACTTGTCTGTTCGTAGTTTTCCGTGAACACGAAAATGACCGAAAAGTGTCAGTGATTTGATCGATCACATGCGGAGAATCAACTTCCATGCCAGATATTAAACCAATTAACAAGTTATCGAAAGATGGGCGGTAACGCAGATGAAACCTTTGAAGTGACGACGTTGTTATTCCGTTTGAATATTACTTCCATGAATAGATTATAGTGAAAGCTAAAGGACTGTCTTATAACCATCCTAGGACCCCGTTTACACTTATACGGAATTGAACCTATCTTTATTTGGATCTATCTTAAATAAACGAGTTAGCGTTTACATTTACACAAGCAAGATCGATCTTATTAAGGTAGCACTACAGTCTAACAATGATTTTTAGAGATATATTTTTTTTATCACATAATTTTAAAATAAGTATCATTCTGCACATTTTTTAAAAATCCCAAAGTCATTATCATATCACAACAGGGAGTAAATTGATAATGAACTTATGTAAATAAAAACACATGGTAATAATTCTAAATATATGGGCATTTGAGAGGGCCACTATGTCAATCATCTGTTGATACCAGTGTCCAGCTGTTAATCCCTGACCACAAGATAAATATTGTGGTCTTATCTCATTGTATTGCAACAAAAGTAATTTATATAACCATGGAAGTAAACAGAGAAAAGGAAAAAGATATGAAAAGGAAAAAAATCTAGAAGGAACAAATCTACCAAAATGAAAAAAACTATGGATAAGAGTGTGAAAGTATCTTTGAAAGCCTCTGACAAAGGTTCTTACTATACATTACAGATGTTGGTCAAATCTGTGACTTCAAACTCCCGCCAAATGCCAAGTTAGTGTAGGACACTGAACACATAATGCCAAATTTACAGTCTAAAAGTATCAAAGATACACACTGTGTGGTTCTATTGATAAAATAATGGTGTCAGAACACTCCTGGGGGGTTCCCAGTGGAATTTTTATATTTATGTTGCATTTATAGGGGTTCTTAGGGGGAAATTCAGTTTTTGGGTGATTTCTCAGAACAATTTTTCATGAGAATTGTTAGCAAAAAATGAAAATAGAAACTTTATGGGTACACCCTTTGGTTTGGCTTTGATATATATGAATAAATGGAGCATTTACTACAAAATCGTGTCCCAGGTTTTGGATAATTTGTTTCTTAATGAATTTATATGTCTCCAAAGATGAAAGGTGAAATGAGGCATGGTACCCAGCATTTAAATCAATATATCTTCTTACTGGATGCATATATCAAAAATCTGAGACATGGTTTTGTAGCTTTTGTATGGTTGATTAAAGGGATGAAAACAAATTTTTACTACCATTTGACCTGAATGTACCATTTTCAATCAAGTTGGAAGACCACTTTTTTGGCAATTAATGAGCTTTATTTGTAAATTAATCATACTAAAAATAAATCTATATATAGATTAAGAAAGAGCAATATTTCAGCTTTAAAATGAATTAAAGATTTTAAAAATCCATTAAGAGTTTTGGAGAAATAGTCTCTAAAGACTGTTGGTTGGAGTCAGAATATTCTGACTGTAGTGCTACATTTTTTTGTACCTTGTTCGTTTACACTGCAATATATAAATAAGCGATCTGACCTGATTACCTTTCATTTTGTAAATAATTAATCGTAAAAATAGAATATGATAACATGTGCATCATGCGCGTTATATCACGCAACGAAAGACATGGAGGAAAAAGTCATTGAATTTACATATGCAGTTATTAATTATCATTTTGATTCACACGTCAGAAGTCTAAAACAAAGAAATGTGATAGGACTATCACTTTAAAAGGAAAGGCAATACGTTTGAGCAGGAGAAATTTGCAGCAAAGAAAAAGAATTTCTCAATTCAGAAGAATGACGGAATCTGTTTTGTTGTTAACTTGTCCTATTACATCAACTGTTTTTAAACACGTGTACATTTTCCGCTGAACATGCGCAGATGTATTTTCAATAAAAAAATAGATTAAAAAAAGATCGATCTTTTTAAAACTACCTCTGGAGGTGGACTTTTTAAGTCCGATTGATAATCGACCTTTTTCACTAGTGTAAACGGGGTCTTTGATACAGTTGCTACGTCGATTTGTATCCTTATATGCGAATTGAGAGACGTATGGATAATAAGATGGTTGATGAATTGGTCTTATACAAATAACAAGCACCTATGGAGTATATAGCTTTATCTTCGACAACTGTAAAAAATCGGTCTCAATAAATAGTGGATTGCATCCTGAAGGGAACTCTTGTTTTTACAGTTGAACCCATTTGAGCCAAGATTCTGATTGTTGTTTCATTGTGCTCTTCGTTTCGTGTATTTTCATGTTCTTTATTGAATATTGGTCGTCGAGGGAAAAAAAACAAAGACATCTATATAACTAAGTTTTGCATTAACAGCAGTATTTTCTTCAATGTTCACTCAAATTTACAAAAACACCTCCATCTGAGTACATAAAAAGCTAAAATTGTAGCCAAAACAGCATTTTTGCACCCTTCTGAGGAGGACAGTCCATATTTTACAGTTTGCCATTCTGACATCGAATGCAGCGTGAATCCATTACAAACCATCAAAGTTATTGATATTGGTCTTATTAAATTTAAGAATGTCATTTATAGTGGCCAGATATAAAATATACTGATGAAATGGCGAATAAACACATTTTCTCCTTTCCCGAATTAAAATCGAATGCTGATTTTACTGACCTCTTAAAATTGCTCTACTGTCGACTCAAGGTAAAGCAGCATTTGATTTGAATATTGTATGATTAACAGTAGAAAATAGAAAATTAAACAGTTTTTTTCATTTCATTGGTACTGAAGTGTATAAAAATGATTTTTTACCGGGGGTGTGGCACTTTTTCAAAATGCTGAGTCAGCATTTTTTCTCTGCGTGGTCGCGTGGTTTTCAAGTACCTAACTGCCGTATAATAAAAAGTATTAAAAATTCCCAATTCAGGTAGAAACTAACTTTTAAATTACGTTCGGGCACTTGCGGGGACCGGGTGGATTTCTTAAGAAGGCGCATCCCTAAGTAGGTCTCCCGTTTAGTTTAATGTTGATAAATTTACGAATTTTGAAAAATTCTCAAGAATAAGAGCAAGTTTTCCAAATATTCCCATGTTGTTCATCGTATAGAACATTAAGTACGTTACAATAAAAATATCTTTTTTTCTATAGATTTATTACCAAATAAGAAAAAAAAAAGATTTCAGTTCTAAATATTTACGCGAAAACGTGACCACATTACAACTAGTGTATCCTCAAAATTTCCTGCGTACTCATTTGACCCACGTTGAAACACACGATTTCTATGTTCTGTAAGCAGTCGCTACGTACCCTTCTTTGCGATTACAGAGACGTACATGTATGGATAACAGAATGGTTGATGAATTTGGTCTCATAAAAATTACAAGCACGTATATACTATTTTAACTCTACTTTCCACCACTGTAAAAACCAGTCTAGCTAAATGGTGGATTGTCCCATTTAAACACTATAATTGTTATAAAATAAAAATAACACTTAAAAATATATTAATGCTTCCGACGCGCTTTTCTTGATTTACTACGAAAGCTCATAACCGAATATTTGAAAGTGAAGGATGTACAAGAACCTAAACAGTTGAAGAGCTTTACATGTACATGTATGACAAAAAAGAACCTAAAAATAACAGCCAAACCCATCTAAGCTCAACTTTGTCCAAGGGAGTTGAAACCGTTTCTTAATGATGTATAATTAAAGTTCTAATAATTACAATTTATACAATGTTAATAATGACGGTGATATAAAAGGATACGGAAAATACAAAAAAAAAACAAATTATTAATCGTGAATATGTTGACTATTTAAAAAAATGTAGCGGGATATATGAATTTGATATACTAAAAATATGTCATTAAAATATGCTAACATTGTTAATAATTAATGAGAAATTATATCAAAAAGACCATAGGCTTTTGGGATTAAAATAAATACGAAACTTATTGCACGTTATATATTTGTATAAAAATGAGGAGATGTGGTATGATTGCCAATGAAACTACTATTCACTACAGTAAAAAATGAAGTGATAGCTAGCAATTATATGTCACCGTACGGCCTTTAACAAGTAGAAAAACACATGCTGTATAGTCCGCTAGCAAAGGTGCATAGATGAATATGCAGCCTATTAGTTATCTATTCTTCGAAGTACTCTTCATTTTGGTATCATTTATCTGCACTACAAGTCTTATTTGTATTGAAATAGTTAGTCTCATATTTCCTCAAAAGCGTAAATTGTCTAAATGAATTAAAATGAATGATTTATTGTAATATTTTTAAAGGAAATACATTTATATTTATCCTGAGATCATTTTAAGGCGTGCAGTTTTTTGTCCTAAATTTTCTTCAAGTTTAATGAACTGATTTATCCCAACTTACTACACTTTCTAAAAAATTCTGATGATTAAGACGTGTCTGAAGACCATGATAGGTCGTGTATTAATCCTAGTATACCTTCGAAAACGCTGACCCAGGGGGTTATGATTATTATAAAGTACTTGTATTATAAAACAACAACAGAAATTTTTTAAAGTATTGTTATTACAGAAGCCGTTAGTTTTCTTGTTTGAATTGTTTAACATTTTCCGTGTTGATGTCTTTTATAGCTGATTATTAATATGGGGGTTTTCTCATTCAATTTGTTGTTTATACCTATAATTGCTTACATCCGCACCATTTGAACTCTGGTTGATAGTTGTTTCATTGCCAACCATGCCACATCTGAATTTTTTTCTAGTGTTTCAATATTAAAAATTCGCTATTGTCATGATTGTATTATTTATTCTTGCTTCAAATATTTTTTAGGTTTAGTAAATTCTTAATGTTAATAGAATATTTCAGAAATCTTTGATATCATTAAATCACATTTGAACAGACGTTAGTGATGATACTTGATCATTCGATATCAATATGTTGGAATGAAATGTATAAGACCCATTTTCATATTTCTTTCATTCGTTTCTCCTCTCATAACATAATTAACAAAATTTCGGTTATTTATCTACGACTTTTGAAATCAATATTGAGTGGGTGGCGCATATTCGCCTTGGACACATTTTCGCCGTTTTGCAATTTGTTCTGTAAATTTCGTGTGGCTTTACCCAATACTTGCCTAAATAGATGCTAAACGCTGTTTGTAATGTTCGAACTGTTGATATTCCTCTTTACCCCATTTCCAATGTTATTCGCACATATAAAGAAATACGCAGGTGTTTTTGAACGATTTTGGCAATTATGTAAGATTTATATGTCACGCATGCGCAGTTATAAAGTAAATATTTGTTAGAAAAATAGTATAGGAATGATCTCTCAACCTAATTCATGTAATTGCAAACAATTGTTTTTATAATATACAAGGATAATGAGGATGGTCATATCATACATTTCGGCGAAAATGTGTCCCCCATGGTACAAGAACAACTTGATTTCCTCTTGAGTTTGCGTTCATTTTAAAACATTTAACCAATGTTTTGAAGAGAATTCCTTTATCAAACATTTTTTTCATATAGTAAACTTTCTGAAACCTACATAAAAAATTTCAAATATTCGAATGTAGGTCGGATGTTGGTGGAAATGAATGAATTTTGCGGCGAATATGCGTCACCCACTCTACTATATACTATATTAATTTCTAAAATGATCAATTCATGTTTTGTTTAAATTTACTCTACAAGATAATTCATGTGGATCTTTTAAAGGATCTATCACTGAACAACATTTATTTTATTAATTCATTCGTAAATTGGCATTGATTTGGTTGGGAACAGTACATGTGCTATTACACATTGTTTCCGTGTTAAAACTGAGGTCTTAACAACATGTTATCAGAACAGTTATTATTAAAACAATTAAATCACAAAATCCAAACGATTTATAGCCTTCAAACCATAACAATTGGGTTTGAATTGCATTGTGCGACAGTTATATGTATCGCTATTCATAATATTTTCTGAAGGAGAAAATTATCAAATCTGAAATCTTTCATATTTAGCGGGATGCCATTGAATAAACATATTAGAGTTAAACACTCTGAATGTAAATAAAAATCCATACAAAGTTAAAATACATTACCTTTTTTAGCACTAATTTTATTTAGTTCATACTTATACATGTTATATAAGCTACACAGAGGCTTATAATACCGTCTTTACCGTAATATATTCACTTTACCTGCATCTTTTTATGTATACTAGCCACCAATCATTTCAGTCACAACTGAAATCTGTTAAATTAAATACAGAAAATATAAATAGATACTCACATTTAGTCGTTAGAAAACGTATGAAAAGAATTAAAAATAATGTCAAAATCTTCTCCATTGTATCAGTATAGTTATTTTACTTTCACATCATGTGACTTCCTTTGCATTGTAGAATTGCAGTCCGACATTTTGCTTGCTTATACTACACTAGTTTCCGATTAATATGGGACACGTGATTTGGGCTTTATGAGAATAAAAGAGAGATAATGATTAGTTTAAAACCCAAACAAAGAAGATATTGAATATGCTTTTGAAATATGAGCCAAACACATAAAAAGGTTAAAACAATCAACATCAGTCATCTATTGGCAAGGACCTACATTCATATTATGATCAGAAGAAAGTATAACGATTTTACGACATAAACAAAAATAAGGGGATGTTGTACGATTGCCAATTCGAATGCTGTTTTTTTATAATCAATAGAGCATATTATTTGTTCGGCTCACTTTTCGTCTTTAATGTAAGAATAGTCGAGAGGCAAGATGTAAAATACACCTGTACTGTAATGATTATATTCGACGTGTTTAGAATTATAATTATATAAGTAATGAATAATACATGGTAATTTAATATATGCATTGTTTATATCATGCATAAATGGTATATAACATAACATCTATATATAGCATTTGAAATTTCAAATCAACTTGGATGTGTTGCAATATCTTATCTGTCCTGCGTTGGTTTTAAAACTTCAAAACTATAATAGAGTAAAACGTCGTTAAAAAAACTGTGTTAAATTATATACAACATATACTTCCTTGACTTCTGCATTGATGAAATTAAGGTTACAAACCAAATAACGTTTCCTAAATCATTCGTTTCAACGCTGTCTAATGGGTACATTAAGAAAAACTAATTTTTCGGATGATAATTGATGTTTATAAACCTGTTGCAGAACAGTAACAATTCGTATTCCTGTATATCACAGCACAATACTAAATGCGAATGTATCTGTAAAATAACTCCGATCAGCACTTTATGGATTGTGTCAAAATACACTGTTATGTTTTGTAAAAAATATCACATTAAAATGTAAAAAAGAGGAGAACATACCCAGGGCAAATAAAAAACGATTAGTCAAGGAAAAGCAGACAACACAGTGATTAAGAATACAACGATCGTATAAACAATAGTCCGCAAACCACTACACAGAAAACTAATGTCAACACGAATCCCACCATTTGGGGTCAATTAAGATGGTCTGCATGAAAAGCATTTTCTGTTAAGCTACACATATTCATCACATTATCCAGAATTGGTAAAATATCGAAGATATGTCTAATTTGTTGATATAAAAATAAAAAGATGTAGTATGATTGCCAATGAGACAACTCTCCACAAGAGACCAAATGACACAGAAATTAACAACTATAGGTCACCGTACGGCCTTCAACAATGAGCAAAACCCATACCGAATAGTCAGCTATAAAAGGCCTCGAAATGACAAATGTAAAAAATTCAAACGAGAAAACTAACAGCCTAATTTATGTACAAAATAATAAACGAAAAACAAATATGATACATAGCAACAAACGACAACCACTGAATTACAGGCTCCTGGCTTGGGACAAGCAAATGCAGAACGTGGCTGGGTTAAACAATTTTGAAGGCGCCAACCCTCCCTCTAACCTGGGAGAGTGGTGTAATAGTACAACATGAAAACAAACTATAAAAATTAGTTGGAAAAGGCTTAACTCATCAGATGGATACAAATATAAATACATCTAACAAAAACACAGAGTGGACGTGGTAGGGTACTTATACTTCTCTAGGCTTCACCGATTTATAAGACTGAAATGTTTTTGTGTATGTCGTAAACAGGTATAAAGTTTTTTTTAATATAACAAGAACTGCAAACACAATAATTCCAAATTGGACCAACTAATAATAACATCAACTGTATCAATTTTTTTTCGGCACCAAATGCGGATTTCCACAATAAATATCTTTTTAGTGATGCTATAAGGCAAAATATATAAAAATCCAAAACTTATAAAAAAAAAACGATGAGTTTATCAACCTAGAAAAGTATAGCCAAAGCTGGGCAAAACTATATTTAGTTGATGAGCAGATCCTTTTTTTTTTATCTTTTACTACGAATTTATTTGACCAAAGAACATGACCTTCAAAATGAAAACAAACCTTTGCATTAGTCAGGACATTTCAAAGTAATGAGTTTTAAAATGTTATGGAATTTACCAAGAATTTCTTACATCAAGACCCGGAAAAAGACAATTAATTGCAATGAATTGTATGAGTAACTTTAGGAGAAAATATTTAGTAAAAATGAAGGGAAAGTTTGAATTATTTTAAGATATTAGTTCATTTGTTTGATAAAAAATAGAGGTGTTATGTTTGGTCCTGTGTGTGTTTATATGGGTATCTGTAAAGAAACATGCGTTTGCATTTTTATGTAATTCTCTAATGATAATTGTCTTAACACTAATTTCAATTAACATAAAAAACGATCCCATACTTTTAACAATACAATTATGTGTGTATAGATAAAGAAACACAAAAGTAAGCCGTAATAGAGAGGCGAAGGACACCAAAGGGACATTCAAACCCACAAGTCAAAAATAAACTGACAACGCCATGGCCAAAAAGGAAAAAGACAAACAACAGTACACAAACACAACATAAAAAACCAAAAACTTGGGGTGATCTCAGGTGCTCCGGAAGGGTAAGCCGTCGTGTTGCTCATGTTAGTACAAATCCGGTTATAAGTCTAACTCGGTAGGTCACATTTAGGGGAAAACATGGAAAAGGGGACGGGATTATAGTTTCGACAATTGGAACTTATCCGTTGTCATCTGTGAAACTTAGTCAACCAACACGTGATGGCGTCCGTAAAATTTATGAAGGGACGATTTCAACTTCAACACTTAGAACTCTTGGTTTAAAACCTTCCTTGTGAGCAACAACCCTCTATCAAGGAAATTGTGATAGGAAATATAAGCCCTGGAATATCGTATCAACTGGGAGATATATACCCCGAATGCAGGAGCTGCTGGAATGTTGCTACATAGAAATGGAAAGTTTACAATAGGGAAGCTGAAAGCATCTCTTTTGTCGTAATGTTTTGTTTTCAACCGACCGTAAAATACGAATGGCATTTTTTTAGTATACACATGTTCAAATTCTTTTGTTAGAAAATCTTATTCCGTTAATATGTTGAATCTGTCATATCAACCAATATCAAGGGAGTGTTTATGTCTATGAAAGTCTTGTTATGTGTTTAAACGTGATAAACGTGATAAGTGTAACAGTCCAATGCAATAATTGGTATCATAAACCGTTTTACTAAAAATCAAAGCCGTTTCAGAATATATTTACTTAGATTACCAAACACAAATTTTGTTTAGGTCAAGGTATCTTCCGTTTTGATCATAACATGAAATCAAATTACATGTTTCGTTCAAACAAATTGAATATAACATTTAAATGTTCACGGTGACAAAGTTAATTATACATAATTAGTTGTGAAGAATCATACTATTTAAGTGTAAAATTTTCTTTGGTTATTGAAAAATTCAATACACTGTTTTCTTTTGAAAATTCTTAACTTAAAAACTAGTATATCTTTACACTGACTGCCATTTTTTATATTTAAAACGATTAAAAATAAAATAATTACATTATATAAAGATATATGTATATATCATGTATATGAAAGAATAAAATAAAATTATATTTCGTTATTCCTTTAAATAAATAATAATAAAATATATAAAATTATGATTATCATTTTGTTTGTAATTATGGTAAATACGGATTTTTTTTTCTAATTTAATTTTTAGATGATGAGCAGATAATCTATAATTGACAATTTTTTGTTCAATTTTGATTTGTTCTAAATAATACTGTAAAAATATGAAACTACGGTCGGATGGATTGATTAGAGTTTCAAATTCTTGTGGCAAATATAACATATATATCAAGACGAGAAAATATTAATACAATATTAATGTGAACCCTCACTGTCCTGTTCTTCACTCGACCATAGCTACACGCTGAGGCAGAGTTTTAACGATCCTGTTGATCAGGTAACACTCCAAAAGGAAGACATCTTACACTACGAGACAAAAACTCTCCAAGACATTATTATTTTATATACTCACACGCGTTTTCTCTACATAAGACTCATCATTAGCACTCGGATCAAAACAGTTTGGTGCCGATATGTACGAGGAAAATGAAAAGTATTGAACCCCATATATACCAAAAGTTGTGCAAAATCGGTTACGGTCATCTAAGTCCGTGAGGTAGAAACAACTAAGTTTTACGAATAGTCAACATCGCTATCAGTATTTTTTAGAGTCACATCTGACTTAAATCTCTGACCGTTTACCACATCCATATACTATACCATATTTCGTCATGAACGTCATTGATCAATGTTCTTTCTTTTCTCAATTCTGTGTTCTTTTCACCAAGTTATACCCTGTCCTCTATTGCGTTACAAACGTTACGGTATGAATATGCGTCCTTTATAGACATGTCAATGGATGTTCAGCTGCCAATGATTACTAGGTCATTTTATACAAACGGGAGAAGGGGTATGACAATAGCTTTTACTCAGTCAATACGTAAACAAATATACTGATAATGGGTAAACTTTCTAGGAACATAAACCCGCAAATTGAAAGGTGCAAACATAAACATTATGAAAATTAATGTAAGTCATGGCATGGTCTTAACCGTGAAGGTAAAGTTACTGATACTATTAAATAAGATTTAAATTGAATGTAGGCAGAAATAATTAATGTTCTCAATAAACCCCCCAAAAAAAACAATGTTTTCTGATATTCAGCAGTTTACCAACGTTATTTTCATAATACATAACGACGTTGAAGACAAAATGGTGAAATAAATTTTATTTTCAAACAAATGGCACAGGTTTAATTCCATGCCGTCCCATTAAAGGTATATCTATAAAAAGTACACAAATTTGAACCAGAGGCTAAAAAGAGCCTGCATGTGTCACTCAAGAGTATGTATCTGTGTGAATTTTCAACATTGATAACTCTCCATCATTATAGACGAGAATATATTTAATGACTTAGACATATCTCGCTGGTCACTTATTCCTACATGACTCGTTTTTAGTGGTGAGGCAGCTAATACAAATATTTCATGTCTTTGGTTAAATCCGGCTAGGGAACGAACCATCG